TTAGTATCCCTGCTAAGGCTTGATATAAGCTAAGGTTAATCTAAGCGTAATATGAGAAAATAAGATATTGTATGTTATATCAGACGCCTTTTAATATTTACCAAACTACTTGGTTTAGGTTTAGAACTGATATTAATCACGACCACATTAATATTTAGTTTAGGTCTATACAATAGAAATAAGGGTTAGTGTTTATAATGAATCAGGAGAAATATTGATTTCAATAGAAACCAAATCCATTATGGAACTAATCGCTTCAGGTTAAAAAAAACCTAATATCTAACTCGTAAACCGCTTTTATGGTTAGCTAATGGCAATGCTACAAAGATAGGGTTAGGGTTTATATTAGATTATAGGAAATGCTGTAGTTGACACTACACTCACTTCATTCGGTAAAATCTAAAAGACAATTTGGAGTATTGAACAAGGCTAAATAGCCAATATGTATCTTTTTATGTTAGCTAAAAAAAAAATTAAAAAATTTGCCCTGACATTACGCTAGATGACCATTTTAATACAATTAATAAAATCAATTCAGCGACATGATTTAGGCAATATTTTTATGAAAATCAATATTTTATAAAACTATTGCTGTACAATTTTTGTTTCATTCAGCAAGCTACTTATTAAATTTTTTATAAAATAGATAATATTCATAATAAATCCTTTTATTTTCTCTCGAATCTATGCATATGAAGAATTTTTATTAATCAAAAAAAAAAACATTATATGCTAATTTTTACATTTTTATTGCATTGCTAAGATCTCCCACATAGTTGAGAAGTGGTCCCGCAGATGATATTTTAAATATTGAGTTTATCATTGTTAGTTTTAATTTGATTAAATATCATCTAAAATAACGGTTAGTTGAATAAATAATAAGTACAATATTTTACTAAAAATATTTTCTAAGAATCAAAAAAATATATAAATAGGAAATTGATAATTGAATAAATGTAAAATATTGTCCTATGATCTACAATTTTTAAATATATTATATTTATTTTTAATTTTTTTAGATAATGGCTATTTAAAATATTCGGAATTCTTGTTATTAGATTCCCGTGTTGAAGTCAAAATGAAGTCGCAAATCATTTCTAGCTGTTATCCGCCCTTATTCATCTCTTCTCCAGTTAACTTTTTATTTCTTTATGTTCATAAAGCAATGATTAGAGTTTAAAATGTTTAATAGTGAGTTTATTCCAATCCTCTTGCAACAGAGAGAAACTGACTTTTATTTTCACACTTATAATAAATCATAAATTTTGTTGGGAATTTATCATTTTCTCCTAGTTGAAAATCATATTTTATACACATCTTTCTTCTAGTCTATGTTTACTGTTGTTATTATGATTATTTTGTTTATTGGTTTATACAAATTAAAAGCATAGCCTAAAATTGCATCATAATTATAAACCAATAAATTTTAAGATATTGAATTATGTTTCAAGACAATAGCAAACATAATAAATGAAATATACAATTTTTCTTAATAAATAACTAATTTGGAAACCTTTATGTACTAATAGAAATTAAATATGAATAAAAATCAAGCAGATTCGGGACTTGTTGATTTCACCGGAACTGAAGGGTCATAGACAGGGTATAGTTAGGTTAAAGATAGTTTAGTTTATTTTTAAACTTTCTATTAAATTAGTAAATCGCATGTTATTTATGTAAAAAAAATTTATAATTTTTATAACGTTAAAAAGATTAATATAATTTTTATAACGTTAAAAAGATTAATATAATTTTTATAACGTTAAAAAGATTAATATAATTTTTATAACGATTAAAAAGATTAATATAATTTTTATAACGTTAAAAAGATTAATATAATTTTTATAACGTTAAAAAGATTAATATAATTTTTATAACGCTAAAAAGATTAATATAATTTTTATAACGTTATTAATATAATTTTTATAACGTTAAAAAGATTAATATAATTTTTATAACGCTAAAAAGATTAATATAATTTTTATAACGTTATTAATATAATTTTTATAACGTTATTAATATAATTTTTATAACGTTAAAAATTTTATTTTTACTATTTATAAGAAATACTATTATTTTTACTACGTTAAAAAGTTACTATTATTTTTTTTTACTATGTTAAAAAATTTACTATTATTATTACTACGTTAAAAAAATATATAAATGAGGGAAGCAAATTATTGGTTATTTTTTTTAATAAATAAAGAGAAAATCATGCCATGGTATTGTCTAATTTTACCATTAAAAAATAAGCATTGGGGAAGCAAATAAAAAAATGCTTATTTTTTTAATAAATAAATTAAAGAGAAATTTTTGACCTTACTTTTTTAAAATAAAAAATTTTTCGTTTATAAAATCCTTAATTAATGTATAATAATTGTAATTATATTATTAAAAAAATTTATTAACATTTTCATTTAGCTCAAGAAATTTTGATGCAAAAAAATTGATTATTGAAAAAGGAAGACCAAAACCAATTTTACAAAACTTAAAAAAAGAAATCAAAACTTGCATCCGTAATTTTTCTATCAATAAATATGAATGGCTCACTGGATGTGAATTTTCTAATTCTCTATATTGTTGGACATGCCTATTATTCCCAAAGGAAAAATATGTTTGGAATGATAAAAAAATTTCGGATATGAATAATTTTTCAAAGGCAGTTAAACGGCAAAGAATCAACCCCTCATTTGCAGTCGATGATTCAATTAAAAACATTTGGCCAAAATCGTATTGAAAATATGATAGATTCGATGCGCAAAATATCAATCGAACAGCATAATTCTAGAGTCAAATCAAATAAAGAAATATTGAAAATATTGATCAACTATGTTTTCTTGGAATTCAGGAGCTCGTATTCCGTGGTAATGATGAATCTTCTAATTCAATAAATAGAGTAAATTATATTGTATTAGTTTATTTGCTCGCGGAAGAAAATTTACAATTGAATTGAAACATCATTTAGAAATAGTGCAGTTTTTATTGTACTATCAAGCAATATTCAAAATGATTTGATTAATTCTATTTCATATGTCTTACACCAAGAAATATTAAATTCGTCGAATTTTTAGATATTAGTAAATTCCAAATAATAAATTTCCTAAAATATTTATTAGATAATCTAAACGACACTTATTCTCAATTTTTTGACACACAAGCTGGAAACCGTATTAAAGGTAGTGTTTCGGGTTGTTAAATTTAGAAAGAAAGAGAATGTTAATGATACTAGAATTTTTAATATGCACCGATTTGATGAAAAGTTTTAAAGAGTTTTTTAAATTATGCAAATTCATCTTAACTTTGGCTTCAATAACAGCAAGTGCAGAACGGATTTTTTCATCTTTAAGAAGAATTAAATCTTATAGCAGAAACGATGAGCCAAAATCGATTATCGAATCTATCTTTGATTTCGATTGAAAAAAAAATTATTAAAAAATTTAAAATATAGCGATAACTTTTATAATGCAGTACTTGATCATTTTACTCAAAAACAAAGACGAATACCACTTATTTACAAATCTTAGTGTTTTTATGGTTTGAGTTTGACTAAAATAAAAATATTTTTTTGATTGCTTCCCTAGTAGTAAACTTGACGCTTCGTCACTGGCAAATGGAATAGTATTTAGGCCTAACCCGGTTTGAATTTTTTTAACCAGACTTCGCTGTCCAATTTGTAACCGGCCCGTCATAGTTACAATGTACTAATGTTTCGCTATCCGGTCTGGGTTTTTAAAATCTAGAAATATATCCTACGGAAAAATAATCAAGAATGATGAGTATCGTGATTTTTTTTACTAAAGCAATAAAACACAAAATGTAGGAAAAGGAGATCGTATTTATGAATGAGTGATAATTGTAGCGAGTTATTTAATCATTAAAATATAAGCAATATGAAATACATTATTTTAACAAAATTTGGCTTTTGAATATTATTTTATTCTCTATTAAGCATGATGGACATCTCTACATTTTCCCCGCTCCGCTTTGCCAATTAATATTTTGCCCTGCCCAAATTTTTAGAACCTTACTCGAACCGATTTAGTCCAGTCCGTGAACCGGCCGGAATGCAGATCTATAATACGAATAATTATAAATATTAAACCAAACTAATATTAAAAAAAATATTAAACAAACGAATATTATAAATATCAACTATTATAAATATTAAATATGTATAATTATTATAAATATTAAATATGATATGCGAATAAATTATATATAAATACTATATTAAACATATGAATATTAAAAAATTATTAAATTATTAAAATATTATGAATATTTTAAATATTGTAACAACATATATAATATTTAAAATTATAAATATTATATATTCGTTAGAAGTTAGAACGTGTATATAAATATTAAGTGAACAATTATAAATATTATGTGCATAATTATAAATGTAGTAGAAGTTGTACAATTATAATTATTAACATTATGAGATGTATAATTATAAATGTAGTAGAAGTTGTATAATTATAATTATTAACATAATGAGGTGTATAATTATAAATATAAATATTTGGTGAATAAATTATAATATAAATGTTAGGTAAATACGTGTAAACGACATTTTAATTTCGACAGTATTTAAAGCACAAATAAATTTATTAGCAAATTTATTGTACATCTAGTGTTGTTAAACGGCTCATTTTGAGCCGATTTTTAAAAACGGCTAACTCAATATTTTAGCCAGAAAAATATAGCCCAAGCCTTGGCCTTTGTTCCTTCTACAAACAAAATCTCCAGGCTTGCGTAATATTATTCTAGATGAAATATTGAGTTAGCCTTTTTTTTTTTAAATCAAAAGGACCGTTTAACAACATTATATCGCCATTTGTTAAAAATAATTTTCTTTAGGCTGTGTCCAAAGTATCAAAAAAAAATCTAGCGAAAAAAAAAATATAAGCCATTTTTAATGGAAAATTAAAATGTTGACCTAAATGATTTTTTCAAATTTCTATAAATACCAAAAAATGATTTAGGCCAAAATTTTAATTTTCCATTAAAAATGGCTTATATTTTTTTTCCGCTAGATTTGCGCAAATTGTGCGATTAAATTTTTTTGATACTTTGGACACAGCCTTAAAAAGTCCAAAAAAATTTTGTATCGATATACTTTATTTAATTCAATATATTGTTAGATTAATAGAATCATTATAAATATATGTAAGTATATATATATATATACCATGTTAACATGTATTAAATATTTATTATTCAAAGGGAAGCGGTTTATAGGACTGTTATCCCAAATACCTAAAAATTGAACCCATGTGGCATCTTGATAAAATATTAAAAATATACAAATTCTTTAACAATACAAAAAAATAATAAATAAAAGAAAGAAAGATGTCATATAATAAATTGCAAAAAGATCTGTAAAGGTAACCCAATCTTCAGCCTGGATTCGGGTTTTAAAAAAAGCCCGCTCCCGATTATTCTAGAATATTTTTAGGATATGGGCTCGCTGGATATTTATATGAACACCATTTAAGGGTCCGGTCTTGGTTCTTAAAAAACTTTTCTAAACAATTTTATGGTGTTTTGCAGAGTTGTTAAAGGATCTAGATACAAGTATCTAGATCCTGTATCTAGATATAAAAATGTGGTATCTGTATCTGTATCTAGATAGATTTTTGATTAAAATATATCTGTATCTAGATATTATTTTAGACGATGTATCTGTATCTAGATCCATTTAAAAAGTATCTTTTAACAACTCTGGTGTTTTGTATCAAAAAAACTTTAAAAGTAAGTTCTTAAATATGAGAAGTTAAAGATTTTGTGGAAATGATTTTACTGTAATAACTCGACTAACTTAATCGATAAAATTTAAAAAGGAAGTTGTAAAATAGAGTGAATGATTGTGAAAATGATAATGTAAATTTAAATTTAATATTATATTAGATTCTAGTTCCAGTTAATTAAAGGCCAGGGTCCCCTGCTTGTAGATATCCGATAAATTTATAATAAAAAAAAAATAGATTCCGAAGAGCCGGCTCAGCCTAACACATGATCATTAAAATATAGACACGGCCAGTGACCCGATAAATATCTATCTTACATTTCCTTCAATATAAAAAAAAATAGGAGATGGTAAATTTTTTTCATATCAAAATAGAAATAAAGTTAGATATCCTCATTAAATATTTATAATGAGCAAAATTTTTAAAAATAGAGAATAAAATAAATATTTTGAGTTTGCGATTTCTTCCCCACATGTTTTTAGTTTTTTTTAAAAAATTAATCAAGCTGATGGTTTTAGCGGGCTAGTCTTAAATCTAAAAAAAAAATTAATTTTGCGAGCTACCTAATGTCAAAATTATTCATAAATGAGCAAAATTTGAAGAAATTAAAGATATACAAAGTAAAAGCCTCTTTGTAATTAACTCGGATAGAAGTAAATGTTCGTTCAGTAAACCTATCTGAAGGAACGTTAAATTTATTCGGTATACTTCTACTAGCTATTAGCAACTAAATGTTGTTTTCTATATCTATCTCATTTCGCTATAGTTAACTGCAAAAAAAAATATTTAATGCTTTTTACGCTGTTATCTTGTATTGTTAAATGGCTTCTATTTGAGCCGATTTTTAAAAACAGATAACTCAATATTTAAGGCTAAAAAAAATAAGGCCTAAGACTAGAAATTTAATTAATAGATGCCTAAACTTGTGTTCCATCTATGAGAGCAAAATGTTAAGGCTTGTATAATATTGTTTCTAAAATATTGAGTTAACTGTTTAAAAGATCAGCTCAAGTCTAGCCCTTTAACAATACTACTGTTATCCTTTACTATAAATATAAAAAGCAGAGTTGTTAAAGGATCTAGATATAAAAATATGGTATCTGTATCTGTATCTAGATAGATTTTTGATTAAAATATCTGTATCTGTATCTAGATAGATTTTTGATTAAAATATCTGTATCTAGATATTATTTAAGACGATGTATCTGTATCTAGATCCAATCTTTTATCATGATAAAAGTATCGTTTTATCTTTTTTTTATCAATACTCACAAATGCATTCTTTGCGATGAATATTTGAATTTAACTGTTAATTTTACTTATATTATTTGTGATAAATTTAATTTTTGCAAAATAATTTTTTTTTAATTATAATTGAATAAAAAAAAATAATCCAAAAAAAATATTTTTTTTAGCTTGTATTGGGTCGATAGTTTATTAAAGTTAGCTTGTATTGGGTAGTCGAATTTAGTTAAATTTAGCTATAGTTTTAACTAAATTGTCCTTTCCTCCTGGAGGTTGTTAACTAATAACAAGGTTTTCTATCAAAAATTTATACCTGCAACCGGATCCAAAAAAGTGACAACGACAAATGAAACCTTCGCAGCATTTATAAATAGATTTTCTTTCATCGCAAGGTTGGCCGTATTGCTTGCATTTGTTGATACTTCTGCTCTTAAACCTTTTCCAATAGATAGCTCTTTTGCTTGAAAAAAAACGTTATTTCGATAAGAAGATTTTAAAATAAAAGCAAATTTATATTTATTTAAAATTATTCAATTTGTATTTTTATAAACGGCTAACTCAATATTTCATCTCGAAAAATATTACGCTAGCCTGAAGATTTTGCTCATAGAAGGAACAAAGGTCTAGGCATATATTGACGAAATCTCTAGGCTTAGTTAATATTTTTCTGGCTAAAATATTGAGTTAGCCGTTTAACAACACAATGTAAATAATTTTCTTCAAGAAAACGCATAAACAATCGTCTCAGTTTGATTTAACAATAATTCATTATTATATCAAGCGGTTTTTTTATAGGCAAGGGGTTGTCATTGCTATAATATAATAGGTCTACTACTGGAGGATAGTGCAATATTTTAGAAATTTTATAATTTAGTACTGAAAGAACGTGGAAAATAATAGCATTCTGTATTATACATAATGAACAAGGGTATTTTTTTTTGATTTTTAGGCCCCTTTCCAAATTTTAAGAGGCTAAGTTCCCCTCCCCCCTAACTAAAATTTCTTATCTTTTTTTTCAAAAATGTTAAATTTTTATCCCCTTTTCCGCTTATTATTATTATAAAAATTAGTTTTTATTTTAGTCGATATCTTTTTTTTTCATATTTTTTTATAAAAGCCACATAGATGTTAGTTAAACAAAAAAATTTTGTTTCTATATTTTTATAAAAAATTTTTAAAAGTGGCCACTTCTTCAGCTTTATTATAAGTTTAAAGTGGGCTTACCACCAGCAGTAGTGGTGATAAATAGCCCAATTTTTAACAGGGTTCGAACCAACTCTAGAATGGTTAAACCAAATTTTTGGAGCGAAAACTATCATCTTAACTGTGATCAAGGTTTAAACTTGAAGGATAGCTCAATCTTTGAATAAAAAAATATACTCTTACCTCAGGGAATAGAGGATTATTTCGACAGTTATGATTTAGCCAATCTAACAACACCGAACACAAGAAATAGTTCAATTTTAACAAAATTTTTTGAATGTTTAAATAAATTTGAAATTTTTTCAAATAGGCAGGTTGTTAATTGTTAGGATGATTTCAATCTACTTAATAAATTTTTTTTATTGGTGTCATTTTGCCAATAAAACATTAATTTTTTTTATTAAAAAAAATTCATTAGGATCATGTTTACAAATAATAAAATATTATGTATGTAGCAATGACATATAATATTACCTAGACTGACGAACGGTGCATTCATAATAATGCATTTGGAAGCGTCGATGAATACGAATCAGCTGAACCCGCCATTTTGGATAACCCATATAGTAATTATTCTCATGTTAAAAACTACAATTGATAACTTGTTTCCTTATTATCTCGATGATCAGGTGATTCTTTAATAAAGTTTACGTCAGACATAGGAATAAATTGGCCTCTCGGTTAAAAATTTTAATAATGATAAAGGGTAACAAAAATGGCATCCCCATTTTACTTTTAATGAATACATAGTCAGTCTAGGTATTATATATTTACAGATATCGCTTAGATTCAGAAAACTTCCAATTTTATTTTTTTTAAAAAAAATATACCATTAAAAAAAATGCATAACTAGGAAAGAATAAAAAATAGACCAATTTATTATAGAAACCATCGTGCAGACTAATCTAATGGATATAGCTTTTAAAACGGGGGTAAAATGACTTGAATCAATTTTAATAAAATTATTTTTTAATTAGATATATAATTAAATTCAAAAAAAAATAGGCCCTAAGAAACCTAGATCTAGATGACCTATTTGGCGAAATGCAAATAAAAAGATTCAAATTAAATGAATATGATTGGGGCTTTGACAATATATAGATGAAGATATTCCTAATAAAAAAAATTTAAATAATTCCTTAGCTATGGTGGATTCTTTATCCTACAGCCGAATGCGAAAAGGACTTATCATCTTATCATTATGATCGTGGCAGATAAACGAGCGAGTTTAAGAGTAAATAATTTGTCAAAATTTAATGTTCCCTAAATGTTAAAAGGACCTTTCGATATCGGAATGAATTTCAGATCCACGTATCAAAATATGGCAAAAGAATTATCTCTTTAAGAAAATTACGGCCTAGAAAGTGAAGAAATAAAAGATTTATGGAAAATTTTTTATATATTTGGATATATTTCAATTAGTAATATATGTATATCGCTGGTAGTTTTGCTAAGCGGCTCGTTTTGAATCGATTATTAAAAATGGTTAACTCACTACCTCATCCAGAAAAAATATTACTAAAGCCTGAAGATTTTGCTCATAGAAGGAACAAAGATCTGGGCATGCATTATCGAAATCTTGAGACTTAGGCATATTTTTCTGGGCTAAAATATTGAGTTCCGTTCAACATTACTAATCGCTGGTATTAAATTTGTCACATTGTTTTTTTTAAATATATTTTAAATATATATATATACATCATATTCTGATAATATATTATATATATAAATTGTAGTCACCCCACCCCCCCCCCCTCCCAATACCTTGGCCTATAAAGTTCGACTCAATTAGTTAAAGATTTAGTGTTCGTTTGCCCCAAGAATGTCAACAAATATAAACAAAAAAAAATTTTAGAATTGGAACCACATGTTTTTTTTTATCCTAGTATTATTTTTAATAACACGTGATTCCGAAATTTGCATAGCCAAAATTGGTTAATAATTTAATAATTTTGGTAAAAATTAAATGAAATTCTTTGACTAAACGTAACTAATTTAGACTGATTAGGACGAGGTATTAGGAACCGGTTTGGGTTCCAGGAAATTGGTTAAGTTGTTATCTCTATTCCTAAAAATTTTTAAAAATAGTTTTCAACGCAAGTTTTTGTTCCAAGATTCGACCTGATTCTGATGGTCAGTGTATCGTTTTCGGTAAGGTTTATATTATTCTTTTAAAAAATAAATTCAAGTTTTTTTTAGGTAAATACAGTATTTAGCCCAGCGATTGTACATTTTACCTAATTCAAGTAAATCCCTATTCAAAGCCTGCCTTATGAGTCCATTAAGATATAGCTAGCCATATGTTAGAATAGAACATCCATAACAAAAAAAATTTTAATTTGTTTGTAAATTAGCAATTACGTTCAAATTTAATTGAATAATGCCCTTACGTGCAAGATGATTACATAATCTGCATTTAAAATAACTCACGGAAAAAAATGATAGCTCAATTTACCCAATTATAAAATATTCTGATATGTATTATATTAATTTTTAAATTTAAATTAATTATATATTTTAAATTCCATTATAATGTATTTATGAAAAAAGTTTTATTGAATTTCATTTTTGCTTTATTATACGCTACGCAATCATAATAAAACCGATACTAATAATAAAATAATCATTAACATAACATTATAATATACTAATTAACACTATAATTTGATTTTACGAGTTTATTATATTCAAAATCTGCATTATATCAATTTCGTTTTTTTTTGGAAATTTTATTACTATAAATGTACATAAGTCCTAAAAAAATTTTTATTAGTCATTAGAATATTAAAATACCAAATATTATATCTTTAAATAACAACATTTTAAGATAAAAAGAAATTTTTTAAAAATTTAAATTGCTTAAATATTTAAATATTTAATAAAAAGATTTCTGTAAAAAAAAATCGAATATACAATTTAACTTTGCCTACTATAAGCCATCCAGGGTAGTTTATTTATTTTTTCATTCCGATCAATCTAAGTTGCATAACTATGGAGGGGTGGGGGAGTGGGTATAAAGGTAGATTTTGAGTTTGAATATGTCCCATGAGTAGTGCTGTTAAACTACCTATCTTTAGTCAACTATAAAACAGTGGTAGTTTCGAGTTGTGGCTCAACTTAGAAGCTTAATTCAATTTTTTTTAGTCTAAAAGCTTGAACAAGACACAATAGAGATTGGTCAAAGTTAGGTGAATTTAAACAACACTACCCATGAGAAAATGTGATTTATTTTTGAAAGTAACTTAATACATTAAAGATTATTTATATTTTTGATGTCTTTAGGAAACTTATAAACTTATCCCATTTTTTTTTTCTCCTAGAAATTTGTTCTGTTTTTAAAAAAAAATTAACTTTGGATTATTTCAACGCAAAATTTCAATTTATTTAACTTATTATCATAAAATTTGGGTTGTAATTTCTCATAAACAGAGCCATAGCTATTGCTTTCTTGTCAGATATGAAACTTGGAGGAGTACTCTTTTCAGAAAATTATATATTTTGATATTTTTTTTTCTGTTATTTCTTTTATTAAGCGCTAATAATAGGTTCGTAGTTTACTAGATTCATGTAGTGAAAAAATGGGGTTATGGAGAAAAAATAAATAAGGCTATAATTATATTAAAGAGGGATATATTTTAATTTGGGTAAAAAAAAGTAAGGTTTTTTATTTCCTATTTAATTAAAATAAATTTTTATCACCTTCTATTCCTCCCTATCTAATACAGGGGAGTGTTGGACATTGATCAATTTATAGAAGTATTTAACTAGAGAGAAGTGTTTTTACATTCGATTTTTGTCATGAATTTAAGCTTGATAGGACCAGGAAATAATAATTATTATACAACTAAGTTTTTTAAGATTATATAACATACTCAAAGTCATATAACAAAATCAAACCTATATTTTAAGATAGAATATAATATACACCTTTGCTTAAACCTATGTAACACACATATATAATATGCATACATATTTATTCAAGATTATTTAGAGATAAAAAAAAAAATTTTTTTTTAAAAAAATTAGAATTTTAACATTACCTAAATATATGAGCATCTATTGCTTTAAAAATATGAAAATTATCTAAGAATTAATACAATCAGTAGGCTGGTTTAATAAGACTTTATTGTATAAACTCTCGAAATATTCATACCTTTCGAAATGTAAAAAGCTCGATATTTGACTTATTATCTTTTAACATTTGCGTTAGAATCGGCCTTAGCCTAAGTAAATTATAAAGACTTAAATATCTTTAGAAAAATCTATATTTTCATATACATATATTATAAATTTGTAATTTTTTTATATATATCTATCTTAGCGCTTGAGGTAAATAATATCCCCCCCCCCCATTTTCTATCTTCTAATTATATTTTCTTATTATTTATATATACCTATTGGATTTATCTAAAGCATCGCCATTTTCATCCAAATTATTTGAGCTATCGGCGTTGTCTAAACCATCTTTAAAAAATAAATTAAATTAAATTATCATTTGATATAATATATCTGTGCAAAAAGATAATCATTTTATCTGCCCCTATTTCTGCCAGTATTTTATTATATAAATTTATTTAAATATTGATACGTGATACATGCCGCAATTGGCAATATCGCGAAACTATTTTTCCAAACATAGAACTCTCTAATCTTTCGATTAAAGTGCACCGGATATCTATTTTACCAGATCCGACCAATCCAATTCGAGGTATTTTTTTTAAGTCTCCAAATTATAAGCTAGAATCCGACGAAATCCTATTTCTTAAAAAAATTAGACTTGTAGAAGAAAAAAAATATGATATTTTAGCGAAAGTGAGAAAATTCTATGCGCTGAAAAAGAAAATGGCCAGGGCTGTGAACCCGCCTTCTAAAAAAAAGTTTAAGTTCGGGTTTAGGTTTTGATGTCCAGAAAATTTTTGATGTCCAGAAAATATGGACTTAGAAAATTTAGTCAAAATAACAGAAATATAATTTTGAAATTAATTTTATTTATATTTTATTTAGAATTCAAATTCACCATATAAAAATATTTATTATAATTACATTAATATAAATAAATTTAAAAAATAAAATATTATATTTATATCTTAAGTAATTTATTTAAGCTAATCAAAATATTTATAAAATATATATTTATTATACATTATCTATTAGATCATTAAAAAAAAAACTTATAAAAGTAAAAATCTTAATTTTAAATTTACATAAAATAAAATGGATACACCAAAAATAACGATTCCAAGAAAAATGATTTGACAAAAAAATATTTTTTATTTATTAAAAATAGCCCGTGCCATCGGCATTGGCAAGCGGAGTAGCCGCCCTAGGCCGCCGATCGATGGTTTTAAGGGCCGCTAAATTTTGCTTCTTGCGTGATTTTATTGGGAATAAAAATGGAAATTTATTCAATATATTTAAAGACTAGTCAACCGAAAAAAATGGTCATATTTAACAGAAACCCAGATTAAATATTTAGTCGAAATATAATTCATTTTGCACAAGGCTTATAAATAGTAAAAATTGCATTAGTTTTATTTCAATCGAAAAATTTTTTTTTAAAATAAATTGTTTAATAATATTATGATTTTTTTTAAAAAAAGAAATATACTGAGACCTGCAGGCCCGGCACTCCGTATATTTTAAAACCAAATATTTGAAAATCGTCATTATTATCTAATAAAAATTAAAAATAATTATAATATATTTTTTAAAAAAAATTAAATCGTGTCGGGCCGTAAAAAATTTTTCAAAAAAAATTCGGTCCGAACCGTGTAAATGGTACTTCTGCAGCAGTCTCTTTTCTTTTCGTTTCTTTTCTTTTCGTTTCGTTTCTTTTCTTTTCTTTTCTTTTCTTTTCGTTTCTTCTCTTCTCTTCTCTTCTCTTCTCTTCTCTTCTCTTCTCTTCTCTTCTCTTCTCTTCTCTTCTCTTCTCTTCGCGCTCTGAAAAAAAATATATATTGAATTTTGTTTACCCGTATATATGATTTGAAAAATTTTATAAATTTTATAACATATATTATTTAGTTTATCGTGTGAGAATACGTAAAAAATTCTTCAAAACGAGATTAGATGAGAATCATTTTTTTTTGCCCCGCGCCACCAAAATTCTCGGCACGGTGCTGATTAAAAAATTAAAAATAAGATTATGTTTTAATATATTTAATGTTTTTATTTTTATTATATAAATATTTTATATGTTATTTTATTTTTAAAAATATAATATATGTTAGGCTGCATTCAAAGTGGATACGGATCCATTTTTTACATCCATTCCGTCAAAAGTCAATCTCATTAAAAATGATATATATGTTCATAGTGCGTCCGTTCCGATACCTTCCGTCTTAAAAACGTATCCGGTGCAAAATTTCGAAGTCAAAACATTTTGACTTTTTGATCCTGCAAATTTTATAGAGTTATAACGGTTACTTTTATACTTTTTCTAAAAATGAAAAATCAATATTATATCATTTTTAATGAGATTGACTTTTGACGGAACGGATGTAAAAAAAATGGATCCGTCTCCACTTTGTCAATGTGTTTTTTTTTTCAACTTTAAATCATTTTTTGAGCGCTTTTTTTTAAAAAATTTAAAAATTTAATTTTTTCCGGAATGTATGGGCGTCATGTTTGAAATTCCTTGAACCTTAAAAATTAATATAATTTATATATCGTTATTTTCCATATATTTTTTTTTTATATATAAAATAAATTATAAATTATTCAAAGGTTTAACAGCGAAATTGTCTATAGTTTTTATAAGATATTTCAAACATTATTATAGAATATATTTTCATTTAAAAAAAAACACGCTCAAAAAATGATTTAGAGTTGTTAAAATAACATATCGCCGGAAAAAATAAACATTTGAAACTAGCATATATTTATTTAATATTGTTCAAATTTTTTTTATAATTTAAAAAAAAAATAAAATAAATTTTAATAAATAAAAAATAAAAATAAATAAAATAATAAATTTAAAAAAAAAAAAATTTGAACCCTAAATTTAAAAAGGTTCATGGTTAAGAGTTCTTGTTCAGTAAAATATCAGGGTTAGAAGGGTTTCTAATTCCCTTTTTCTGGCGCGCAGCCCGGAAATTGGCATCAATGTTGAAAAGAATATTCATTAAAAAAAAATTAAAACAGCTTAGGGAATTAATTTTAAAATCAATGTTTGAATACTAAAGAGCCGGAGACCAATCCAAGCACGATCGAAACAAATTAAGATAACTCGAATTGGCCCGTGCAGAGAATCTACCTTTAACAGAACCCTCTCCTTCCTAGGCTAACGTGTCCAAGAGGTTAGTTTTAAAAATTATATCTGTCCCAGGACATCCTGCATCCCAGCATAGGACTGCAACCTTTTAAGTACCTTATTATTCAAAAAATGATATTTTTTTTTTGTCTATATGTATCAAGATATATTTTAACCAAGAACGATTTATCCATGTCAATTGACCTCAATATTCAATTTCTCTTGAAAACGCTATCATAATCAATAAATACTATATAAAGTAGGAATATAGTAATGGCGGAAGTGGTCAACTGTGAAGAAATCTTCATATCCACCCTAGAATGTTATATACTATAAAGCTAATCGCGTCATAAATCAGTATTATTTTTAGATCATTTATAGTTTATATAGTCAATGAACATAAATCAAAAACGCCTTGGGCATAATAGGCTCTGATAAAAACATTCAGTACTGAAGGGTGTTCTATGTGGTTTTTGCCGTTTTATACGATAAGAACAGATTAGACTTCTATATAGACAGGCCATATGTCAGGCTGGAACCAGTTTAGGGATCAATTTGTTCGAGTTATCCAATTTTTATTTGAAGCTGTTGACATGATTTAAATTAGAGATCTGCAAAAGTAGGCCCTGGCGGACCTTGGAAATTAAAATATATCTAAATTTATCAATTTTATATTGAATTTTTTATGTAAAATGAAAATATTTGATTTTATTTAGAGAAATTAGACACCATATAACATGTCTTTTATTTTGAGTAATTATAAAAAAAATTAATTTCTATATTTAAATAAATTCGGGCCGGGCCGGTAAATTTTTTTAAAAAAAATTTTGGTGTTTGGGCCGCGGGCAAAACTTTTAAAAAAAATTTCGGGCATGTAGATCACTAATTCAAATTACTTGAAGTTAAACAAAGCGTATTTCCGGTAGGTTAAATTTCTTTTAATTATATATAGTTAATGTTAAATACTTTATTTTTAGAGATGTAAATATATAAATAACCGTATAGGCTGTCAAATTGGGACTAGTGTAACTGAAAGAGATAATTATCAGAGACCTGTCTGGCCTAACCAGCTACACCTAATTTTTAAAAATATATCCGGCCCGGGCCAAACCAAATATTTTAAATCACCACATTATTATCTATAAAAATTATAAATAAATAAAAATATTTTTAAAAAAAATACGATACATACTTTCATAAACTATAGTTTGAATTATTTATTGTCTTACATCCTAATAATTATTGGAAATAATGAAATTAGAAGTAGTAACTTGGCATGCGAGGTTTAAGATATATTTATTAAAAAGTTCTCAATAATTTATATGTCATGTTGTATGTGATACGTAAAAGTTATTTTGTTTTATTAAGTTAATCGAAATGTATAAATTATATTTAAATATATTGTGCGGCTATTAAAAACTAATTTAAATATTAAAACAATATCTTATCTATTATCTTATCCTATACAGTGTATTTAGAAATTGGTAATTCGTGATACGAATTTCACATTCTCTACGAGGAAGATTATTTTGTCAAATACCAATTGGATAAATATATTGATGGTAACAATGTTCAGGTGACTTAGGGAACGTTCAAAATTTTATCAAATACAATTTTGCGAGAGTACTGCAAAATATGAGCGCGAATTTTGCCGAAATAATTTTGTCATGGCTGATTTCCGCTCATGACTTATTTTTAAAAATATTTTTAAGTCTAATAAAGAATCTTAGGATTTATGAAAATGGCATAAAAAAAATGTAATTAAAAAAATATCTTGAATGAAATACCATGGATTCAGGATTCATTACACACCTAAAGTGGTGGATCGGGGATTAGATACACCGACCCCCCCCCCTCTGTTTTATTGCTCTTATTTTGACCAGTCTAATTCCTAAGGTTATTATCAATGCTCACCTCTCAAAAATGACTTTTCCTTAGAATACGCTAATCTCGTTATAGAAGACGCGTGGTCGTTGATATTCCATCGCCTGATTCCAACAGATAGAATATTTGGGATAAAACTATACCAGGGCCTTGCGTTGAATATCTGTTATACGCTTCTAACTGATTGATCCCTCTTCACTAAAAATTCATTCTTACTACCAATGCTTAGCTCTAACTCACCAATAAAAAACTTACCCATGTTATTAGAAGCCGCTTTAATTGTACGATAACTCTTCCTCGCTTCTGCTCTAGCTGCAAAACTTCCATAGACAGTGAAATGACAGTTAACATTGCTTATCGTGTAAAGATCGAATCCTCAAGTATAGCTTTTGCAATTTCCTGGTCCTACGAATCTTAAAATCGCTCCAAATACTTTCAATACGTGAACCTCCCGCACTTATAAATCCGATGGAAAGAGGCTATAGATACGCTCTGATCAAAGGAAAAAGGGGTCAATTTCTTTTTGAAACTTTATACCTGCATAGATCCATTAGGCCTCATCCAACTAGACACCTAACTTAACTTGAAACACTAAAAACAGCTCAATCAAAATATTCTGAAATTTCAGAAGATCATGTTTTCGTTCCAATTCTATCCACTATCTTAACTTTTTTTCGATAAATTTACTTTATCCATTTTTAAAGATTTAGGATCTCATATGTGAAAGCTCTCTGTCAATCCTCAGATGGCATCTTCCTAAGACCCGAGTCTGGCCATAGATATCCCCTGAACTACCCCATAGCTTCAACGGCAGCCTTATTTCCAAGGAGATTTCCTAGACATACCCATTCCTGCAATATTCCTTCTTTATTTTGCGCCTTTCTCCTTTACTCAAAATATTGCAGACGTTAGCCCACCATTTTTTTTCTTCCCTAAACTATTATATTCCCCTCTGATATTTATAATTTTTTATATCTTTTAATTGATATGATTTTATATTTATATTCAGTCAACGTCCAAAACCAATAACATATATATAATAATAATTCTTACCTAATACTAACGATTCATTCATTAAAATGAATATTTACTACGCGTTTTTAAACACGAATCAGACCTGTCAAAAAAAAAAAAATTAAATCTTATGTTAAATTTTTTTTAAATTTCTAGAATTGCATCTTGGACACGTTTTTATTTTTGTATTTAAAAAAAATGCTTATTTCTTTTTCGATAAAGTTTCAAAAGTTTGCGAATCGATTTTTTTGGATATTTTGGACACACACTAATTCCTATTAAAATAGAAACTCTCTTTAATTGATTTCCCAGTTTTTCAATTTTTTATTTTGACAGTTAGATTCTGAGAATGTAAAATTTAAACCTACAGTGAAATACTCTTTTAGCATTTAAAATCTAGAAATTTTTTAGGTAGAAAAAAAAATTTTCTATTTTAAAATTTATAGATTTCCAATTATAGTTGAGCATTATCTCTCCCTTTATTTATTTTTTAGATGGGTAGGGGAAATTATGATGTAATATAGCTTTAGTGATAACTTTTTCCATCTCATCCCTTATCTAACTACTATTTGTTCCGCAGCTTCCAGGGATTTTCAGGATTTACCTATCTATAGTATTTGTTGTAGGCAATTCTCGTTCTCCCTAGCCTCATAGGATTCCCCGTCCTATCCTCTAACATAGCACCCAAAACCGATTAATCATTTCGAAATAATGTTATCTTATGAGATGCAATTTTTCAAAGAATAAATAACTCCACATTTAGGAGGAATTCACGGCTAAGCTAAATATAAAAGAATATATATTCACTATTTTAGCATTACCCCGATGCGAATTTCGCGTTCCTTCCTTCCTTCCTTCCTTCCTTCCTTCCATCCTTCCTTCCTTCCTTCCTTCCTTCCTTCCTTCCTTCCTTCCTAATAATATATAAGTTTAGTTTTACAAATACTAAGAAAAAATATATAGTGGTTTTTAGAAGTATACTTACATCTGATAAGGTTCCAGTAATCTTTATCATAGAATGGATATAGGACCTCTTTGTCCAATTCATTGCTGGCTGATTTTACGATTAAATTGTGATTAAAATTTAGAAATAGTATCATCATTAAAGTGATTTTTCTTAAACCCATTTTTTGATTTCTTAAAAGTAATTTTTTTTCAAATATTTAACTAACACTCCTTCCAACAAAAAAAAAAGATTCTTTTAAAAACTAGAAAGAAAAAGAAATAATAAATTATTATTATATTTAAAAATATTTCATTATATTTATTTTAGTATACATCAGAGGGGGATGTATAACTTGGATAATATCGGCAAAACAATTTCATATTTTTTCGTTAAAAACTAATAAGTATTATCTAAACCCACATGATTAATGCCTGCCTTTTCTATACAACCATGATGGAGTTATTATTTTATAATTTATATATATATATTAATTTTGTTAAAAAATCGGTTAATATAATCTTCATAAATATTGTTATTAACAATTATATATATATTAATCATATAATATAATATAATTTAATTGGAAAGGGAATATTATTTTCGCAGATTCTAAAAAAAAAAAGCAAAATAAATCAATATCATGATTATAAAATTATAACTTCTTTATTTTTATTGCGGATAAATTACAGTATACAGAAAACGAAAAATTTTAACAATTTAGGGACTAATAGGTAGTGTTATTAAACGGCTTGATTTGAGTCGATTATTAAAACCGGCTAACTTATTATTTTAACCCGAATATTTTCAACCGTTTGTGCCACCTATGAGGAAAATCTCTAGATGTTTCATCAAACCTTTAAGAGAATAGGTCTGTACATAGGCATATATTTGAAAGGTTCGAACATGTCCAATAATTTTTTTTTTAAATATTAGCCTTACCCTGAATTCACAGTTTTTTCCGAATCCGCTGCTAAAGAATACAAAAATATCATATTTTGTTTTCTTCACTGCGAATTCGCGTTAAATTATGAATTTAGGGTGTTCGAGTTTAATCCAGTTATTCTAAAACTTACGTAATTTCAAACAGAAATTAAGAAATTTTTGACAAACATTTTATGCGAGGTAGTGATTTGTTTAGAGAAATTTTGTTGTGCGGTAAAGTTAACGCATAACGTTCGCGATCGATGATACAGAATTTCTAATTAAATTATAAATGCTATGAACTTAAAAAAATATATAAAGTTTTTTTGTTTTTCGAGTAATAATAATATAGTATTAGAGGTGCTAGTATAGTATTAATACCCTTTAGAGAGCATATCCAGTGCAGTGGATTAATATCCACTTTTTAGAAATTTGAAACCATGTGAGATCGAGATCTTATTACACAATTTCAAATTTGGTACAAGAATTTAGAATAATAAATAGAAAAAATTATGAAAGAACTTTCAAAAAAAAAGAAATAAAAAAGACACCACTTTGAAGTTCAATATAGAAAATATTTAAAATAAATTATTATAACAATCATTTAGTTCTTATTAAAATCCGTAATTATATATATTAATTGATGCTTATTTTTCGTCCAAGATTTGTCTATGATTATAAACTCTGGGATATTTATCATTATCTATTTATTAATATTCCCCTTTTCAGAATACATCGTAGTCAAATCGAATGTCATCTGTACCCAAGGAAGAACGCTTAAAAATTGTAGATTTCAAAATCCATTGCATGGTATTGGTATTATATTTGGAAATATTTTTTTTTTATCCCTTAGATGCGATTTTAGTATTTATTCTTAAAGAGCCCTATTTTTAAAAACGGCCCGAAGAGATAAATATTATGCAAACTTCAAGATTTGGCAAATAGATGTCCAGAAGCTTTCTGACCCAAAGGGCTTTTAAATAACAATTATTAAGATTTTAAGATTTAAAAAAAATTTTTTATTAACATTTTTTTTTCTTTCTTTCTTTCTTTCTTTCTTTCTTTCTTTCTTTTCTTTTCCTTCATTCTTTCTTTCTCATATTATACGAAGATTGTCACCCGGGCGTACCTACGACAGATTGCGCTGTAAATCCGTGCGAATCCAAATTCTGTTCGTTGTACCCCGAAGCTGTATGCGAACCGTATTTCTGCGGGGGTTGTTACGCCCATTTTTATTTGAATGGAAACTTTGTCGAATGTGAAAGCGATATCGAAAGTTTCATTTTGCTTTGAATTTTTTTTATAAAAAAAACATGTTTTTTTTTGATGGGTATATCGTGATTTTATTATTTTCCCTATGAAAATTGTGCCACTAGCATACCAAACGAAACCTCAGTCATTCTAGGACCAGCCCTAGCTAATAGCTAGCTCTTGCTGTAACCCGGCTTTCTTCATGAGAGAATTTTTTTTTTTTCAGAACCAGACAACCAAAATATTTTTCAAACTCTTTACTCTCTTAGGATCCCTATAAGATACCATAAAGAGATCAATCCTACCCCACCCCCTCCCTCATTTATTTGCTGTATTACCCAAATTTTTAATTTTAGAAATGGAAAAATTCAAAATTTTTTTTTTTGCACAATTATAAGAAGGGTATCCCAAGTCTTTAATTTTGAATCTTAATATTATAACATTAAGTTTGTTCGCATACAGTGAATTGTTCATACGATCCCTGCGACTATGCCGAATGTGCGTTACATCCTCAGGCTATTTGTAAATCGAATTCGTGTGGCGGATGCAACGCTGTATTTTATATAGGGGAAGAAAAAGTGGAATGCGACAAATCAAGTAATTTAGTTAAGTTTTTGGATGGCATGCCAAACTTTTCATCCTAATTATGTGAATTTTCAAGAAATTATATTGTACTAATAATAATGTTGTTAAACGGCTCGTTTTGAGCCATTTTTAGTAACGGCTAACTCACTATTTTACCCAGAAAAATATTACTTAAGCCTAAAGATTGTGCTCATAGAAGGAACAAAGATCTAGACATATATCATCGAAATCTCCAGGCTTAGGCAATATTTTTCTAGTTAAAATATTGAGTTAGCCCTTTTAAAAAATGGGCACAAAAAAGAGCCATTTAACAACACTAGTACCATAACAGGATATCTCATTATTAACAATTTTAAAAAAAAAAATTTAAAGGTTGTGGTAAGAACATTGAAGTTGTGTCCAGGTGCATCGAAAGCCCATGCAAGATCAATAAATGTCCAAAATATCCGACAGCTAAATGTCGTTCAAATTATTGCAACTGTAACGCCGAATATTTATTAAAAGGGAGGAGAGTTAATTGTATTATTAAAACGACTACATCGCAAGAACCCGAAATAAAATAGTTGAAAACATTAATAATATATATTATATAAATACACATATGATCTGAATTTAATGAATGATTTAATTTTATGATATTTGATATTAATTAATTTTTTAATTTTGAATAAAAACTTTATCGTTATTTTAGCTGGGTGCTGAATTCGTAGTGGGATCAGATCCGATTTAACAGCTGATCGATTTTTAAAAATCTGTTCATGAGAATTCAATTTTCCTAAATTAAAATTCATGTTATTTTTGAATTCTATTCCCGATAACCTAAGAATTGTTGATTCATTAAAATAAAGAAAAATTAAACTTATTAAAAGATTTTTTTTTAAATCGCTCAGCTGTTTAATCGTGGGGATCGGATCCAAATATAAATCCAGCCAGCACAAATTGTCTTATAGGCGAAGGCGGGACAGTGCGAGGGATGAAACTTGACCAAACCTTCTGGAAAATAATCATACTTATTAGCTAATAGTTATATTGGAATTTTAAAAATATTTGTGCTATGCTGAGCATTAAATGCTCATTATTTAATTTTTAGTCTGAGAGTAAATAAATTATTTGAATGATATGTTTGAGAACGTTTCTCTATAGATTTTAAATTTAAACCTAAATTTTAACTTTACAATCCATGTTTTCTTTCAATTTAAGATGATGATTTGCAAAATCAAATGATATAAATAGATTATCATTTTTGATTTAAATCTTTTTTTATATAAATATAAATCAATGAATAGAGTTGAAAAAAATTCTTCAAAATATATTTTGAAGAATTTTGATCAAATTTTATTTAATAAATTCTTTTTACAAAATCTTTTGTTAATGTCATGCATAAAAGATATTTCAAAATAAAATCAAAAAATTTTGTTTCATAAACATGCAAACTATGCATCCCAATTAGTATTGTTAATCGGCTGGATTTGAGCAGATCTTTAAAAAAAAATTACCAACTCAATATTTTTGCCAGAAAAATCTTTCCAAATCTCTAAGATTTCGCCAATAGACGTCCAAACCTTTGTGCCAGCGTGAGCAAAAATCATCAAGACCAGCCCAATATTTTTCTGGATGTATTGAGTTAGCCGTTTTTTAAAAACCTTTAACAATGATAATCCCAATAATCGAGAAAATTTCCGAATACTCTTTCTTGAGAGAGAATAATAACTCCATTACACTTTTTTAAATATTTTCAAAAAATGGACCCCCCCCCTCTTTCACTTTTCCAGCTATAATTTAACGGGTGCCTCTGAATTTTATGGTCATTTTGTAATCGTAACATATTTAAAATAAGATGATCTATAAATGTTTGCTTTAATATTCGTCTATATACTATTTATAAAAAAAGAGTCGGGGCTAAATGGTCCTCAGGTCAGGATATTTTTATTATATAGTGTAATTAAAAATATTTTATTTTTTGTGTTTTGAAATGTAATTTTTAATTGTAATATGGGAGCATTTTAAATATAACTCATATTAAATTTTATTATAAATACCGAATATATCGTATTAGGATATAATCGGACTCATTTTTAAAAACTATTTTGACAAAAAAACGCGAAATTGACGATTATAATTGTCACCTTGCTGAATTTACGGTCGAAACTAAATTAAAAATTTTGATGCTAAAGAGATGACTTCCAAAAATTTTCTTGGGTTCATTAAATACAAGAAACCTACCACCCCCCCCCCCTAGTTACAGGATTTCGTTTTAGCCAGCCAATCGTTCCCATATTCATCAATATAAAACGCAGTTTGCATTAATAAATATTATTTCTTTGAGCGTTTCACAAATACTATTCTCTTTACTTCTATTTATCTGTCTTAGAGTCCTACGAATTTGATTTATTCCACTAGAGCCACCACCTCCCCTCCATGAGTTTAGCCTTAATCTTTATTTTTAGGCTTGAGATATAAAAATAAATAACACTATAAGACCGTGTGTTGACTCGTTTTGTTTCTAAACAAAAATCTGTTTTACAGTATATATCGTCGCCTGAGTATTAGATTATTCTATATCCAACTTTTTGTCAAACTAACCTTTTTTTTATATAAATCAATTATTCTTATTTACACAATAAAAATAAGTGTTTTTTCCGATAATGTGTCATTTTTTAACTTTAAATCATTTTTTGAGCCCGTTTTATTTAAATTTAAAAATCTGATTTTACCGGAAATGTACTCCATCATGTTTTGGAATACCTACCCCATAAATTTCAGACAATTTTTTCGTGAACTTTTAAATTTAATATAATTTATACTAGATTTTCCATATATTTTTTTTTATAATAATTATAAATGGCTGAAAAGTTTAACAGCAAAATTATCTACAATTCATAAGATAGGTGGTATTCCAAACATGTTAGAATATATTTCCAAAGTCGTAAAAACATATTCGGAAAAAAACACATTTACGCTAACATATATATATATAAAATAAGTTAAATTATAGTCAATATAAGATTAAATATCCTATTGAAAACAATATAAACTTAATTTTTTTTAAATTGTTCTTCTAGATGGAATAATCTAATTCTCAGGTGACGATACATAACTTCCTCTAAGCAGAAATAAGACGAGCTAGGGACACGGCCTAAGTTCTTTATCCTAATAAAATGCTATTAATGATTTCTACTTCCAAATAAAAGGAGAGAAAATATTATATCTAATTTATTTTTATAGACAGGTCCATTTTAATATAAAGAAAAAAAAAATTTTTCAAGCCGACTTGCAAGGTTCTCTAAAATAAAATTCTTTTATTTTGTATAGGAAAATTAGTAGAACAAACAGCCTTCAATTATAAATAGCGTCAATCAAAATAAATCGAAGAAAAATTCTCCTCCCAAAAACTCTAAATGTTGATTTCAGATCTATCAATTATATATAAGTCGAATTTTGCTTTAAATTATAAGTCGCGTCAATCAAAATAAATCGAAGAAAAATTCTCCTCCCAAAAACTCTAAATATTGATTTTAAATCTATCAAATATATTATATATGTCGAATTTTGGGAGATAGAGAAGGAAAGAAATTTCGAGATTATGTCAACTTAAAATCGATTGCAATTGAACTATTAAAATGCAAATGTAACGATATTAAATCTTATGATTGATTGATAGTGAATCTATATATTAAAAAAAATATATCATTTCGACTTTTCAAAATTTACATTTAAATTAACTATAAATATTTTTAAAAAAGGATGATAAAAGAAAGCAAAGTAATAAAAAGGAAAAAATTAGACCATTTCTTATTCGAAATCATAATAATGACTGAAAAAAATTGCAGTAATTTATTCATATTTAAAAAATATTTAATACTATAACTAGATTTGGTATGAGTATATTATGTGCTTTTATATACTATGATACATAATTCTGGGGTTTAATTAATATGCAAATTGTAATATATATATATATATATATATATATATATATATATATATATATATTATAATAAAATAAAATAAAAATGAAGGATTTATTTATTTTATAGTTTATATAAAGTTAAATGAAATGTGCATTGGGAATAAAGCTTATCTAATCTTAAAGATTATATTCTATATATTATAAATGGGCTAAAAATTAAGGAAAACACAAAATTAAATATAGGCAGGGATGTTTTTTATTAGCATAATTGAAAACCTGAATTTGACTATATATATTTAAAAATATATACATACATAATTATTATAAAAATTATTGATGAATTTATCTACAGATGATTTTATAAATAAGAATTTGACTAAATTACGTTAAAATGATAAAAAAAAATCTAATTATTTAAAAATAAGCGAGGTATCAAGAAGATGTAGGAATGCTATGATTGGTTAAAGAAGTTTCGTGTATCAAGGCAGATAAGCTGTTTATCGTGTCGTTACTACTTTGACTCTCCAAAGAATCTTTTGAATCGTTGAGTATAGAGGGGATAATCGATAAGGCATCCGGAGTGGTGGTCGGTTGAAGGACTTGATTGGAATGATTATCATGCGGTGGATCCACGCCATCATCGTTATTCGTACAGGGCAATTGTTGGAAAGCTAAAGGAGGTAATGTGGGCATGACTTTGTTTGATACCTGATCATCTGTTATATCGAGAAGAGGATGAATGGGAGACCTATCCTTGTCGAAGTCGGGACGGAATAAGACGGGGTGCGGCGATTCTGCGTCGATCTTAGCAACACGTTCGCAGACATTATTGTTAAAATCGACGTGGCACTCGTTGTTTTGGGTAGTGTTATAAGCGTTAAAATCTTCGGGGCCAGGTGTTTTTGGTATTACAAGATTAGATGAAAGATGATTATTCATATTATCGACGATGTTATACTCGTTTGTCGCTTTAGCGTCGCGTTGTCTCCTCCTGAAAGATACTCTGTCGCGATCCCGTTCACGAGCGTATTTGTTGTTTCGAGTGAAAAACTGACCAATCCTTTGACCTATTCTTTTACGAATCACGCCTCCCGACGAGTCCATTTTAATATTGTCGTGGGGAGTTGGTTCAAAATGAACGGAAAGGTCACGGGTCAGGGCTCTTGGAAATCCTTCGTCTCCATCGCACGCAGATGCGCGGGAGAGAGAAAATCTATTCCTCGATCTAGATCTGACGTCTTTTTTAGATTCTTCCTGGGCCATGGAAGTAATTTCGTTATAAGAGACAGCCGGAAATTCGTTCGCGTTACTGAAAGGGCTAGAAGAAAAGTCGTCCTGAATAATGTAGAGTTCTGGATTCTCCTTTTCTTCCCACCAATGATCGGACGTATCTTGCGATGTATTGTTCTGAACGTCTGTCGACTCCTGGCCCGCCATTTGAATTTTAGAGGGAGAAGAATACCTCCTATTCCTAGGAGTCACTGTGTTATTTTCTTGTCTGTTATTATTATTGTTGTCGTGGGACAAATTCAAAGAAGACGGAGAAATTACGCGAGAAATATTGGTGAATTGACGAGACAGATGATGATGAGAGGAAGAATACGAGGGTGACGAATAAGGGATTTCGTGGCGGGACGGTAAAAGACCCGATTCGAGATCCATCACGTTATTCCTATTTTTATTATTGATTCCAAAAACGGAGGCGGGAGAAAAAATCTTTGAAAGTCGTTGTTGCCTCTGAAAAGCTCCACCTTTAAAGTAATTTGGAGGGTGGAAGGAATAAAAAGTTTAACAAGTATCATTTTTAAAAAAAAAAAACCTAAGGAGATAGGATTGGTAGTCATAATTTAATAAAAATGAAAGAGCAGTAAACTCGAGAACCAGACTGTGTATATAAGTTAGACCTCATAAAGCTTTTTTTTTTAAAATAAACCCAGGCTGGGCTTAATTTTTTTTGGAAAAACCCGAGCCTAAACTCGGGCCGGACCAGGCCAAAAATTATAAAACACGGGCCGGGCAGAATATATAAAAACTAACCAACCTTATCATATTTCTCATTATATTATACTACCGTACTAAAATAAGTAAAAAGGTTACCATTCAAACAATTAATACAATAATCAAATCTAACTAATTAATATTACAAGGTATAATTTTTTATTGAAATTTTATAAATAATTAGAAAATAGCTTACAATATAACCAACCACATTATTTTAATATTTCCTTGAATACTTTTCACTGTAATAGGTATAAATAAAATTTACTAATTTGGAGACTGATTATTATCATTTTTTTAAATCCAATCATATACAAAATAAAACACATTTCGCCGAAAATGATGATAATTGTAGGTTTTTTTTTCATTGGTATTTATAATGGAAAAGAATCTTCATTTTGAGAATAAAGATAAATTAATAAAAAAAATAATTTATTTCAAATTTAGCTGAAGAACAAACAGTAAAATGTCGAATTTATTAATAAAGTTATGTAATAATTAATAAAAATTTGACAATTTCCCACATTAGCTACTTTCGAAGATAGGGCACAATTGCAAAAGCTACTTTTCAAAAAAAAAAAAATTAGCGAGCTAATAACTTAGTTAGTTTCAAAAAATAGGGTCACTTACTATAAGGTACGTTATTAAAAAAAATTATCCAAAATGTTTACAAATTAGATTTGGGCATATATATATAAACAGGCAAGGTATGGCCTGATTTTTTTTTTTATAAATTCAAATTAAAAAATTTATCTCAAAATAGTTATTTTATTCTTTCTTCTTTTTTCTTAATGTAACATAAAACTCAGAATATTCAGCAATATTACTTAATGATTGATGATATTTTTCTATTTAGTGCCAAAATATGATATTGAGAAAAAAAAACTATAGCATCAATATTTTTCTGTAGCGGACAAATGTTGTTAAAAAGCTCGATTTCTAGAAAACGGCCGTATTAAGATTATAGCCAAAATAACAATTATGTAAGCCTAAAGATTTTGCTCATCAGCTGGCAGAAATGCTTGGACATCTATATTTGCCAAATCTCGATGCTTACATAATATTATTCTAGCTAAAATCTTAATCGGCCCTTTTTGAAAAATCGACTCAAATCGGGCTATACTCTGATGATTTTACAGCCGGCGGTAAGACTTTAATTAATACTAAGAATCTTCGATAAAATAAAAAGGGAAACCTTTGGAGCCTTTTCTTTCAAGTATAACATCTTTCGAATCGACAGCTCGTAGTTGGAAAGATGGGCACGAACGCTTGCGGGTGAACAAGGGCATGACCTCAACCCCCGCCAAAGAAGTTAGGGTATCTTGATTGCTCGGGTAAGGATCTTCTTCCTCCACCTTTAGGTTATTTTCTTGCTCAATATCTCCGAATTCTTCCGATCCTTCCACATCGTCGAGCTGCGCATTATTTATCTGCGGATATAGCTTTTGTGACAACTCAATATTCTCTACCACAGGATGATCGGTTTCGGTAACCGTTTTGTCGACGACTTCGAAACATGGTAATAGAGATTCTCTATCCCCTTTAGCCGATAATATGTGATAGGATGGGGGGCAAGAGCCTACCATCATGAGAGGGTAAAGCGATAAGGAAGGTTCGTGAGAATAACTTTGATTTGCATCATTTTCCGATGACATATCAATACCCGAGGGTGGTTTTGAATAATAAGAATTCGGTGTAAAAGAATCATGGGCGGGGTTAGGCGAGCTAACTGCTTCTTGGCTAATAAGCAAATGATTTCGACGATTTAAAAGTGCGTTGTTTTTGCGTGGATCGAAAGAATTACGCACGTAACGGCGGCCTAGACCTTTAGGTTGACGACTTGAAACGATGTTTTTATAATTTAATTTTTTAATATAAAAATAAAACAGGCCTAATATGACTCTAATATCGAATTACGATAAATTTTTTTATAAAGGACGGCTACAAGTCCTGTCTAGAGTATCAAATGGATAAATTCTGTGTTAACCATGAGGAAAAAAAAGAGGTTGAATTTTACAACTATCTTATGTCAAGAGTTTGATTTATATAAAACGACTGGCAAAAAGGATCATTTCCGACTTAGGTTAGGACCTAATTCGAGTTAATCAGCAATTGAGTGTTTCCAAAGATTAAATATAAATGAAAAATCAAATTGAACCGCTCAAACACTAAAATTTAAGTTGTAGCCTTAAAAGATATAATTACACGTCTAAACCTACGAAGACTCAATTTTTAAACTGATTTACTAATAAAATGATATAGGTTCAAAATTAATCTCCTGAGCTGCTTTCTAAACCATAATCACAAACTTACAACGAATGAAAAAACAAAGAAATTTCAAACAAAAAAATAATTTTTTCCTCCTAACACTACTCCTCAATATGGTTAGAGTAAGGTAGGGAGGGGGGGTGGAGCAACTCGATTACCTGCCTTCTTGTTTATCATCATCATCGGCGGCGAGTAGGTCGTCATCCCGTTCTTCCTCTTCCCCTTCCTCATCGTCATTCTCAGGCTCATCCTCCATATCCTCTTCTTCGAAGTCATCAACTGGCATTCCGTCTTCGTCATCGTCGTCATCATCTGCTAGGCTGAAAGTGTCATTTTCTTCATCTATAACATACATTAAACTTTCTTTTTTAAAGTATTGTCCGTTATTTTTTTTTGAAAAGTACCGTTATTAGTAGTAAAAATTCAAACGATTTTCTGAAAGAATGAAACTAACGAGGGGTTGGAAAGAGAGGGGAGGGGTGCAAATATTCTTCGGGGAGTATAAAGTTGGATCGGAAGGTTGGCTACTGCACAAAAATGCGTAAGAGCTGAATGAGATTTAAATTTAGTAAGAGCAGTTTTATTTAATTATAATATTTTATTTTTTAAAAAAATACAAATAATAAGATCAAAATTTATGAATTAAAACAAAAAAACGATCAGCTGTTACGTAGTTCTACTCTTACTACAAATGTGACCTCGAAAATTTTAGAAAAATTGTAGGAAAGAATGAGACTTACTGTTACGCTGAGCGGATATTTCTCTAGGGACGAATTCATCCTTCCCATTTAGACCTAAATCACGGTCACCGGATTCCGCCTTATTTTTGGCGTTAGCGCCATCGTCATTGCCGGCGCGATCTAACCCGGGTTTCGTAGTGCCGCTCGACAATTTAGCCGGCTTGCCCCCGCTACTGTTTATGATGAGGCCCCTGAACGGTAGCTTAAAATTTCTTTCCGCTTTCGTTGCGAGGTTCATGTTGCTAACGATTTCTTCCTTTTCCTGCTGTTTTTGCTTGTCGTTGATTAGAGTATTTTCTCTCGAATTTTGGTGGCTTTGTAGGGTATTATCCCCGGGTGTGGCAGGTCTTTCCGGGATAACGTTAAGAGGTTCGGAAAGTCTTTTAATCGATTTGGATTGGATCGTCGAGGAGTCTTTGGAAGATTTGGGGTATTTTTTGGCTGCCGCGTTAATAATTTTGGCCTTGTTTATGATGGCTTTTTAAAATATATAAAATAAGCTTTAACAAAACTCACGGACAAATTCTTAAATATAATTGAAAAAAAATGTAAATTAATAAAATATTCAGAAACGTCGTGAATTGCACGAGGGAAAAGGCATCACGTGATGTTAAATGGCTCGATTTGAGCTGTACTACCTATGAGCAAAATCTTTAGGTTTGCGTAATATTTTTTGGGGATAAAATATTGAGTCAGCTGCTTTTAAAAATCAGCTCAAACATGGCCGTTAAACTACACTACCTATATATAGCAAAGAGGAAAAACGAATTGAAACCTACGTGATTACCGAACATGAGCACGGTAGTCATATGATAGCGATAGGAAATCATCGATCATTATTCATTTTGAGTACGTTATGGAAGATTTATTTATAACTGATAAATATTGATTGTGTATTGAAATAGATGAATTAATAAAATGTGAGGAAATGGAAACGATTTATGGCTCCTTGTATGTTATATACATATCAATTGCATACTTAAGATTTGCATGATTTCATAAGTAGAAGATGCGTAGTTTCCCGCATATATTTAAATTACCGCCTGTAGGTGTTTAAAAAAAATAGCAGTAGCTTCGTCATGTAAAAAGTAACGTATGCACATACAAGAAAAACTGATAAAGAATTTTGGACTTACCAGGAACTGTCGAACATTTATTAAAGTTTAACCCAACAATCCAGTTCTGCGAAGGAATATCAAATTTGAATTAAGAATATATAAATAGTGTACAGCCTAGATCGCGCCTACAAATTAGACGCCCTATAACGTGATTCTTATTTCGCGCGCCATTTTCTCATTTTTATTCGATCGCGCTTTATGGGATATATTTCGCATTAGCTTTATTACATTATACTGCACCATTTTATTATTTTTAATTCGAGTCATAAGCCATACCACCGCTAAAAGAGTCCCTTTTTAGCGGTAGCCTGTCCTGATAACGCCAATTAGTGTTGTTAAATCGCCTATCTTTAGCCAATTCCAAAACAGCTTAGCCAAATTTTTTCTCTGAAAATATTTTTCTCGATATTTAAGTTGAGGCTAAAAGGCTTATATGAATTGTTTTAGAAAATCGAATTGGAGTTACCCAAAGTTACGTGATTTAGACAACACTAGCGCCAAAAGCCCTATCAATCACGTGATGTCTATTCCCATGTGCGATTCGCGCCACACTGAATAAATTCGTGGTAGCCATATTTGATATTTCATTGATTTTTTTTTGGTTCCACAAGTTTTATTCATTCATTCATTCTTTATTATTATACAATTTTAGGATCATGGGAGAGGGAAGGCTATATCTCATCGATGATGACTATAGTCTAGGCCTCCGACGGGCCCGCACTGTAGAATTTTTATATATAGGCTATCACATATCTTCCCTATTTCATAAGAAATTGAGTATGTGTGAATAAATGGCCAAGCCCCTATATTTTCAAATTTACTATGGAGGCGGGTTTCAGCTAAAATTAATTATTTGTTTTAGACCCAGAGCCGGCCTACATTTCAATATTTTAGTGGCCTGGGAGATATGAAACTTTTTTTGATTATATACTATTTTTGGGTATGTTTATGGGGGCGGAGCTGAGCAATTTGCCGTCCATGCCTATCTTCCCACTTTGGTGACTGAGATCCAGGGCTTCCGTTTTTGCTTTCTCGACAGCGGCCTCCATTTCTTTCATAGCTTCGTTGAGTCTTCTCTGCTGTTGCCTTTCCCGCCTTTTGGAGTAATCTTCAGTTTCGTTTAGATTCTCTTTGCTATCGTTAATTTGGGCGCCATCTAGGGAGAGTGCCATTCCAATATTATAATTTGCAATAAATATCTATAAAATATAAAATTGAATTTATCAAGGAAGCACTTAAATTTTTAATAAATCAACTTTATTCTCAACGGTATAGGATCCATATCAAGTCAGTTTTTTGGGTACGACTGGGCATTATATATTTATTATTTTCCAAAAGGAAAGCAGGAAAATTATCCAAATAGCCCTCCCCATATCAAAAAAAAAATTAATATAATAAAAGGAAATTCAAATCAAAACTACCCACCATTCCCATCCAATTTTATTTATGAATAGCGTCCTCATAACTTCCAATTTCAATAAAGATTTTGATTCATACTCATTGGTAGAAGTTCATATAAACGTTCAAGAAAAAATAATGACTGTGATTAAAATTTTTGGGATAAGGCCTGGCTGGCATCAAGAGAATCTTGATCCGATCCCAATGGATTCAAATTCGGACGGATCCGAACATGCAACCTACATAAATTTAAATGCTAATCTTAGGGTAAATTGTTTTAAAAATTTATCTATTCCCATACTATCCTTTAAAAAAATAAAATAATACCAGCTGAAAATGAATTGTTCCTGGTCTGCACGGCCGAGGTTGTTATATTTCGATGCTTGCTAGAATGGACAAATTTGTGACGTCGAGGATTATCATCATGGTAATTAGAAGCGGAGGTTGGGAGGGGTGGGTTGGAGCCGTGGTGATGAAACACCTTGCTTATGGTATGCATTATATCTTCAGAGGCCGTTTAGTTTTAGGGAAACATATTTAACATGTTAAGAGAATGAAAAAAATGTTAGCATCACGTTTAGGATCAAATTATAAGCATCGACCGATATTAGTATCGGTCGATACGATATTTGTAACGGAAAAAACGAAACATTCAATTAATATATTAACCCCTTGATCCTCGGGAACCGTTTAAAACAGATTCCTTTCGCCCCCCGATGGTAACAACGCTTCCGGTCCTCAACGATTTTACGCTCCCGCCCCAAAAACTACTATTCGAGCTTTTCTTTTTGGCGCTACTAGTCCGCGATTGCGTCCGATCCTTGCGGTCGAGTTTGTGATCTCCCATATCTTCGTCTACCTTGTTAACGTGAGCGATATTATTCGCGTTACTATCGTGTTTCCTGTTCTGATGGTAGGAGTGGAGAAGGCTAGTGACCGAAGCCAGCCTGGAGTCTGGAATAGAGTTGCGATTTTCGGAACCATGTTTTTTGTTCATCATGAGGTCGGCAACCATCTTGATCTTCTCCAAGTCCTTAAAAACGTCCACCTTTTTGAGTACGTCCAAGTTTCTCATGACTTGCTTGTCCCGTTGATTGAGAAGAAATTTTTTTTTGCCCTTGTGTTTGTGTTCCTTGTTCAAGAGGAGTCCATTTTCTTCGGGGTTTTCAGAGCGAGCCGAATCGGATGAGACGGAAGATCGATCATCGTACTCGTCTTCATTCGTGTCGGCCTCTAGTATGGTGTCCATTGGTACGAATCCCATATCTTCGGGCGGTATACTGGTAGAGAATAAAAATGGATATAATTAATCGTCAAGGTAAAAAAAAACTGCTTCGTTCAAATTTTGGTGTTTAAAATTATGTATTTTATCTAGAGGTAGGCACGGCCAGGTCGGGCAAAAAGATATTCGAGACGGGACCGGAAATCAAGTGCAAAATACTTTTGTGGACTGAACCAGCTGAATAACTTTTCAAATATTTTTACGCTCCAATTCGGGTAAACCGACCTCTAATTTAATTCTTTTCTAATGAATATTTTTTTCATAAATTGTCGGCCATTTTTCTTTTAGTGGCTTTTTTTGTTGTTGAATAGACAAAAATAAAACTAAAGAAACCCTCACCAAATAAATAAAAAAAGGGAATGGCAAAGGGAATAAAGAGCAAATTTTTAATAAAGCGAAAAATTACATAACTTTTCGCGCCGATTTTTTATGAGAAAAATATGACGTAAGGTCATAGTTCTAAATAAGAACAAATCAAAAAACTTTGTTAAAAAAAATGTGATTTAAATACATATGCGGGTCTCAGAAGAAAATGATAACTTTTTAATACTCTAAATTCATGGTCGATCCTATGAATGGCTCCCCTTTCATTTGCGTGATGCCCTTGGTGTAAGGAACACTGAATTCTATGTCTCCCCAATATATATCCTTTTGCAGTTTGGGCAATTTATTGAACATGGCATCGCAAGCCATATAACTAGCCTGTTGATTTTTTTGTTTTGGAAAGGGACAAAAAAATGTTATAATATACATATTATTATACACTTGTATAATTATTAGCTAAGCTTTTTCCTCAATCACCAGAAGGTCCTACAAAAATTAATTTTTCGTAATTTTTTTTTTAAGCGGGAGGTGGCGATCTCTTGGAAGAAGGTGGGGGAAGGGGTAATAAAAACATATAATATAACTTGCATGTTACGATCGATTATCCAATTCATCTCAAAATCATCGTCGTCTTCTCCGAAAGGATTTATCAGTTGCTCTGCTACCTTTAAAAATATATTAAATAATAAAAAAATATATATATTATGAAATAGACCAGTAAAAGACCTATTTATTTGCTTTCATAATAATGATAGAAAAAATATCATAATAACGTTACATATATTTTATATAGGAAACTTTTGTAATAATCTAATTACAAAATTTATACAAGAAAAAAAAAAAAATCCCAAAGGTGAAATAAGAGTGATATGAGAAGAATAAGGAAGGAAGAGTGAGTCTAGAGAAGATCTGTGGAGTAAAGGCAGTCATTGAAACTTTGATAATTCGCCTTGAGAATAGCTATAATCAGTCTCTGTCTGAGGCCTTCCGAGGATCACCAGTATGATTACGGATGTGAGATTCTAAATCCTTGAAGAAGAATAAGGCAAGTTTACTAAAGGAAGTTAAGCTTTTGGATATGATTAGAATGAAGTTGTGATCTACTGATATTTCCGAATATTTCAAAATTTTAGGTTGTTTTTTTTGCTCGAGTAAGTTTGGCTAATGGATCTATACAAGAATAGTCCCAAACCAGATCTTCGCTAGACTTACTCTTCCTTCCTTATTCTTCTCATTTTACGCTCTATTTCATCTTTAGATTATTTAATTTGGGTTTTTTTTTTGGTATATTAATTTTGTGTTGCATTCAAAAGTTATTGTATAAAATGTACGTAATTTTGATTTTACTCCCGCGAAAGAAAATGATTGGTTGTAAAAGTAATAGTATCGTATGATAATTGGAATGTCCTAAAATAATTAGCGTGTTCGTTAAATCACTTATCTTTAGAGAACCTCAAAACGGCTTAACCAAGATTTTATCATAAAAAAAAATCTTTTCAATCTTTAATCTAGGCTTAACTTAAGAGATATTGTGTCAATTTTCTTTTAGGCTAAAAGCTTGGTTCCAAAAGTAGATAATGCAACAACACTGCTAATTAGCTTACTTTCGTTTTTTTAATTAAAAAAAAATAAAATGATTTAAAATATAAAATATTAACACATTTATTTTAAAAATCTAAGTTCAATTTTGGTCAATTTTTTAAAAAAAAATACATGCTTAGAAGCACTCCAATTATCACGCGATGATAGGCATTAGTAGAGATGTAAAGGTAGGGAAATTTCCCGGGAATAAGGGAAAATTTTCCTTAATATAAATATAATATTTTATTGCAAAATATGATTTATAATTTAATTTTATTATATCATGCCACTCTTCAAATCTATAATTTTAAAATTATAAAAGTAAAGGTAAAATGTTAAACATTATATTTCCATACATAATATTAATATGAAATATTATGGAATATTTAGATTTGATATATAAGGATCTTTAAATTTTAATCATACTGCATAACTGGTAGAATAATTTATTGATGTTAAATTTAAATTAATATGATTGCAATATTTTATATATGCCTCAGAAGCTGGTAACATTTTATTAAAGATACAGCTAATAATAAGAAAGGGTAGTTATCAATAAGCAAATTTCTCAATTGTCATATAATTTCCCATATGTCTCAGCATATCGAAAAATGTCAGAGGTATATTAACAATTTATAATTTAATGAAGTTGATAATAATTCTACTGAAAAGGATATTGTAATAATGTATACCAGATTCCAGTAATCCTAATATAATATCCCCCAAAAAACATAAATAAACCCATTCTAAATTCTTTTAAAGAATATAACAATAATTTTAATAATATATCAGGCACATCTAAAATTAAATTCTGACACTGTAACTAAACAAAATCAAGCACAACTTGACAGCGCTTTGGCATTAGCTATTTTTATGTCAAATTGCCCTTTTCATTTAGTTGAAAATAGATATTTTAACCCAGCATATAAAATTTCGTCTCGATATACAATTAGTAATACATTATAAGATTTTGAATATAATAAAGTGACAAATATTACCAACAACAAATTCGATACTTTAAAAGATTTTACTCTCATTAGCGATGGCTGGACAAACATTCGTGGAGAGTCCATCCAGAACCCATTTTCTTTAAATCATTTGACAGAGTATCTAGTGCTCACACTGGTGATTATATCGGATCTGAGCTGATCAAGGTAAATGAAGAAATTGGTAGTAAAAAAATTCATCTCACTAGTAACTGATAATGGAAAGAATATGAAAAAGGCCTGGAGTCTTGTTAAGGCAAAATATAATTATATTGAATGCTGTGAATGTGCCCCACATAGCTTAAATCTGCTTAAAGATTTATGCCAAATACGTTTTATTGAAAAGATCATCATAAAAACCAAACAAATAATTAAACATATAAAATTTAATGGTATTTCATTGGTAACTTTTAAAAATCAAATATTGAAAAAAAATTGCAAGTCCGACAAGATGGGGAGGTTTTATTATACTGTTTGCAAAGTGCAGTGAAAAATAAGGAAGTTTTGCAAGAAATTGCAAAATCAAGTTTATTTACAGGCAAACAGAGAAGGCCTATTATATTGGACAAAGGATATTGGGATAAATTAGAGTGTGTAATTGAACAAAATTATAATCGTAGAATCGGATACAGCGGTATTATCTGACGTCAGAAATATTTTGGGATATAAAAGATAAACTCAATTTATCAACTATTATTTTTTAATGAAAATGATTTGAAAAGTGTTAAGATGCATATTAATAAATGAGAGAAATTTTGTCGCCGAGAATATCATTTTATGCAACAAATCTTTTGGATCCTAGGTATTATGATGCGAAATTTAACAGACTGCGAATTAACAGTAGCTTTAAATTTAATAAATGATATTTCAAGGCCAAATTAATTACGATATTGGAAAAATTATGGATAAATCTCGTTCAAAACAAGGTTTCTATAAAGGAGTTGGCAAATGGGATAGCTCGATCCATACTAAACCACTGTGGTGGAAAGGGTTGTGTACAAATCAACCCCCTTTGTCAAGTGGCAGTAATATTTCTACCGATACCCCTCAAGTGCCTCGTCAGAAGGAGTAAGGCGCCAGCTTTTGATAAAATTCATTGAAAAACGAGAAATAGAATGTGGAAAAATAAATATCAATCTGGCATACATACATTAAAAGGATCACACAAATACATCACGTTAGTGATATCATCAAAAGACTTCATAATACGATTTCTCAATATCAACTGATAAATGATGATATTTCAATTACATCTCATGAATTTTAAATGTAATTTATAATACATGCTTCTTGTAATTAATAAAGTTATTCAATAAAAAAAATGAAATGTTTAGTGTATTTTTGTCTTTATTGCTTATCGGTTACTAGTGATATAAATTTTTTACTACCAATTTCTTCAATTACGTGATCAACTCAGATGCGATATAATCACCAGTGTGAGCACTAGATCCTGAGTCAAATGGATTTAAATGGGTTCTGGAGTCATAAATGAAATTAATGATGGACTCTCCGCGAATGTTTGTCCAGCCATCGCTAATGAGAGTAAAATCTTAATATCGAATTTGCTGTTGATAATATTTGTCACTTTATTATATTCAAAGTCTATTTACTAATTGTATATCTAGATGGAATTTTATAGGATGGGCGCATTAATTTTAAAAAATTGATAAAATATTTATTTTCAACTAAATGAAAAGGGCAATTTGACATAAAAATAGCTAATGCCAAAAGCACAGTCATAGTTGTGTTTGATTTTGTTGTTACAAGCGGCAAAAATTTTTTTTAATTTTAGATGTGCCTGATACATTATAAAAATTATTGGTATTTTCTTTAAAAGTATTTAAGAATAGTTTTATATATGTTTGGGGGGGGGGGATATTATTTTATTAGGATTACTGGAATCTGGTATACATTACTACAATATCCTCTTCAGTACAATTATTATCAACTTCATTAAATTGTAAATTGTTAATATAACCTTTGATTAAAGAAATTATATGTCAATTGAAAATATTTGCTTATTGATATATATACCCATTCTTGTTATTAGCTGTAACTTTAATAAAATGTTTCTGGAAGTTTTCCAAGGCAACTATAAAATATTGCAATCATATTAAATAAAATTAAACATCGATAAATTATTATACCAGTTATATAGTATATAATAAAAAAATATAATGACCCCTTATATATCATATTAATTATGTATGAGAATATATGCTTTTTGTACTTTTAAAATTTAGATTTGAAGAGTTGCACTAATGAAAAAAATAAATAAGTTTAAAGACTCGCGAGGAAAATGAAAATTATTTTAAAATTTATGATAATATAAAATTAAAATAAATCATAATTTTTGGAATAAAATATTATATTTTATAAAATATAAATCATATTTTTGCAATAAAATATTATATTTTTATTAAGGTATTTTTACATCTCTTTTCGAGAGTTAATAAAAATCTATATTGAACTATGTCCACCCTCCTAAGATACATGAGAAAAACAAGAATTCTCAAATGTTTAATTGAAATTACGATAGGTGTTAACTCATTCCTTGTCTGACCTTGGGTAATTGCTCCAATTTAACCCCACAAAAACCTAGTTTCTGTCTAACTATTAATCCTTATTAACCCGGGTTTTTTTTTGCATTCTTTAAGAAAATATAGCTCAATTTTAATTTTTTTTTTTCAAGAATAAGCATAAATCAACTAGCGTCTCAATGCTTAGCGTATTTTCGGGATGAGCATATAGATTCTTATTTTTAGATCCCCAATACCTAAAAAAATCTAAATCAAAATGAGTAAAAAAAAAAAGAAGAAAATCCAAATTAAATACAGCTGGTATTTCCAAGAAATTCGTCATGACATAAAATCTACACAAATTCATAACCCCCCTCCCCCTCATAGTAGAATTCCTTTGCCTGCGCATGCTTTATTGACGGAATTTTTTCAACACGATTAACTGCGTGTAGTAAAAAAAAAAAAAATTATTGCAAAAACTTTGAGCCATCCCATGTAAAAAAAGAATTGGAGGATGGTAAATAGTGGGATGTATAGATCGACGTCACGACCGGGGTAATTTTGATGAGGGTCCAGGTACTGTCTCCCCATGAGAGTTGCCAAAAAAAATGTGTAGAGTGCCAGTGTCACGACCTGTAAATTCGATAGAAATTAATTATAAACTTAGGTTTGTTTTTTTTTGGATTATATTTCATATAAAAAAAATAATGGGCAATTATTGTCTTAGATCTAAATGTAGGGTGAAAAAATTAAACAGTTATAGAACATGTTATATTCTGTTTAGTAATGAGAAATACGTAATAGATTTGATTTACCTCAAAGGCAATTGATAATATGATTTAATCGTATTCAAATATATTTTATTAATTGTGTATGATGATTAATTGATGTATTTACATTGATTTGTGTAAAAAAAGATATATATAAACTGAAGTATAAAAAATAATAAATAGTTAAAATATAATAAATTAGATGACTAATGATAAAATATCGCAAAAATTCTCCCAGAAAGAAATTTATATTTTTGAAGGAGATGGGAAAATATTAGATAAATCTTCTATAAGATTATACAAGCACGTATATTAGTTTAAAATCATTTTATATCATATTCACCAAAAAAATTTGAACCCAAGACCTAGGATTACTAAGTCGGCATCAATATGTAAATTTACCGCTGCTATTACTATTTGAATCTTTTTCTTCTTTAATAAAAGTATTTATTTACCTATCCATAGGACAGATAGAACTAATATTTGTTCTAAAAATTTAAAAGGAAAAGTATTAAAAATTGAAATAAAATATGGGTAGGAACGTGTGCTGGAAGAATTTCAACACCATTTATTGCCTCTAGTCTATAAAAACTATAAAATTTAATGATTTTGAAGTTCCCAACAAAGATATATCAATCATAGGTAATTTAAGCTATTTTTATAGTAACCATATACACTCATGTACATAAAATATATTAACTTTTTATTTCAACTGCTAAAAATATTTAGAAGCTTCAAGGTATGTCACAAACTATGGGAAAACATCGCTATGCAATTGCAAAATGGGTTGCATTAATAAAATATGCGAGTGTTTCAAGAACAACCTTAAAAATTCAACGAAATGACTGCCATATTGCATTGAATAATCGTTGCAATAAATAATTTTTTTTTTTAATTCGGATTTTTTATAAATATATATCCATGTAAAAATATTTATGATTTTATATAAATTTATAAAATAAAAAGTGTCTTCTTAACCTTATCCCTTTTCATTCATTAGGGGAGACCTGGGTCTTGTCGAGCCCTAAAAAGCAAACCTTAATAAAATTAAAAGTAAATTAAACTCATTCTGTTCAGCTCTATTAGTTTTATAGTAGGTTTTAAATTTCAAAAATATATATGTAATACTTTTTTCAAAATGTTATTTTTTCTGGAATATTTTTTTGGGAAAGAGTGAAACCTACCCGGGGACAAGTGGCCCCTACAACGGTGGGGGTCCGAAGCAACTGCTTCTAACTTATTTTTAAATTTTTTAAAATTCTTTTATTGTTTTACCACACCCATCCATAACCAAGTGATTTCTGGTTTATGATATCGGACTCGACCTCGTGATTCCGTTAATACATATTAAATTAAATAATAAATGGGGGGGGGGGGTCTTATTATAAATTTGGTCGATGTTAAGCAAATTAGGTTGTTATCCGAGAATTTTTGTCATAAAATTAGTTTTGTAATTTCAAAATATGCCTAAAAATATTAACCAAAAAAATACAAATGCTTATTTAATAATTTCACGTGGCATAATTTAAGAGATGAAAAATTCTTACTACCTCATATACTGCCAAGACTTCTTAGTACCATGAAAGATTTATTTCTTAATAATTTAACCATTTTATCATTGAAAAAAATAAACTTTATCTAAACAATTAAATAATGACGATAATATAAATTCTTTCGCTTTCTCTTCCTCTAATTTGTCTAAATGATTAATTTAAAAATAATATTTATTTTTTTTACATTTAATTTAAATTAATAAAAGATTGATGCAATAAGAATTATTTTTGAAATTTGTAGACGTGTCGAAAAATAATTAACCATTTATTCGAGAAATAGAGGGGAGAAATTTTAGGGGGGGGGGGGGGGGGTATTCTATTCCATCGCTCAGAAAGTGTAGGGGCCCCTGCCGGGGACGAACAAACCTTTGGTCAAACTCTGCTTAGTTTTCCGCATAAAAGTTTTATATTTTTTTATTAGTACATATTTAATGATTTAAAGCATAGAAGTAATACATATTAAATATCTCTAAAAAAATAATAATTTTCTGGTGACCGCCAAGGCGGCTAAAAAAAGGAAGAAGAAAAAATATATATTTAATTGCTTTAAAAAAAAAGATTCCGAATCCCCTTAAATATTTTTTAAAATTATTTTTTATTTTTATAATAACCACATATACTCCTCAAACTAATTCGTGTACATAAAATATATTAATTTTTCATTTAAAGTGCTAAAAATATTTAGGAGCTTCCTGGAATGTAACATGGGAAAACATCGTTATGCAATCGCAAAATGGGTTGCATGAATAAAAGATGCGAGTGTTTCAAGAACAACCTAAAATGTTCGACGAAATGCCATATTGCATTGAATAATTGTTGGAATGAATAATTTTTTAATTCTGATTTTTTATAAATATATAATCATGTGAAAATATTTAATATTTTTTTTTTAGAAATTTACAAAAACAAAAATGTCTTAACCTTATCCCTTATCATTCATTATAGGCCTTAATTTTATACTATTTACTTTTTTTAAATTCTCTTTTTAAATCCCTTATTTTGGCCTTTTAATTATATGGTGCCGCAAAAAAGTGAAGAAAATGTAATTATATTATTTTATTATATTTTTTTCATGGGGATTCGGAATATTTTTTTTGTAAAAAATTTCTTAAAAAAAGATTCCGAATAAAACGTGGGGATTCAAGATCTCGAATCCCCATATTGAGATTCCGAATCCCACATGATTCCATATCCCAATACGACATACATATATACTATCTCATGATAACTCCTTACATATTTATATTATATGACAAATCAAAATTTGCAGAATATCTTGAATAAGGACTCCTTGCAAGTAAGGATCTAAATTGAAATTATATAAATCTTTACAAGATCTTACCAAATTCTGATATCAAACCCAACAATATAGTAACTCTAGATTTTGCCATTATATAAATTATTTTATGATTCTTTATCTCCTTCCCCTTAATTTTCCCCCTAAAAAAACATATCAGTCTAGAGAGCTATTTAACGACCTAGTTGTCTGTGAATATAACACGAGTATTTGCCATGTTAATGAACGAGATACATATATAATTATAAAGCAAATGTCACCTGAGTATAAACTAAAGGCACGCTGATCCAATCGTACGCGAATAAGAGACCACATTTGCCCCTGAAATCGTCGAGATCCTTCAAAAAAAAGTGGATTAGTTAGTCTTAATTTTTTTAAAAAAAGGTCGTCAACCAATCGTCTGCGCAAACGATAATTACTTGCCTCGAATAAAGTCTAAAACGGTATAATATCAGGGTATATAAAATGTCACTCCTATTATAAATTCGTCTGCTTGATTAATACGGGTTCCAACTTAAGTTTCTTTCTCTTTTTTTTCTAACTGAGAGCCGTGCCTTCTGATTGAGATTATGAAATATTTTATATGACTGCGTTTCGGATTCGATACACTTAGTTACTTGTGGAAGCACATTTTTGTTAAATGTATAGACAGAGTAATGAAAATGTTTCATTATATCTATGATTATTTTTTAACACTTATATCAATAAATTTAAGTATGTAAATAGGAATTCCACTTTAGGTCAGATTTTGAAAATTAGATCACACAATATGTCCTGGTTCAAAATAAGCGGAAATAGAGAGGTCATAACGCAAGAAAAACATTTTTTGAATGATTAAAGGAAGGAATTTAATTTCTTATTAAAAAAGGACAGAAAGACATTACCTAATTAGTCATCAAATTTAGTTGCCTCTTCCTCGTGTGCAGAAAAAAATATTGATGCGACACATATTTATGACCTGTTGACATTAATATAAACTATTTTTTAAAAAATTTATAAAAAAAGATATAATAATAATAAAACTCTAATAATCCTATCCAAAAAGTAATCGTCCCTAATCCTATTTTCTTTACGCGCCCTCACAGCTAGAGTGCAAAACCATATGGAAGGAAACCACCATTTACCGTGAGCGTTAGGTATACTGTCCATCATCCTTAGATCTTCTTTCGTCATTAACCCTAAAAAAAAATTATATTTAAGTTTGTTAATTTTTTTTTAGTGGGTACGACTAAATAAAGAAATATTTTAGAATTGCTCATACAAATGTACTAATTATAAGCAAATAACTCCTGATCTATAATAGGGAAAGAATAAATTTAATGGTTGAAAACGCATCTATATGCTAAGGCATCATTTACAGTTAGCGCGAAATACGGCAAAGTCGCTCAAGTGATGGGTAATTCATCGCTAAACGATGGCATATATAATTTAACATGATGTGTTTGGTGTAATTTATGCAGCGGGGCGCGATGTCACGCTTATTGTAAAGAAAGCCCAAGGCTGATTTCACATTGGAGCGCGAAATAATTATACATCGCGAAATGCATATATTCAAAAATCGAAGCATTAACATTGAGCTTTCGCATAGGAACCGATTTTCACCTTCGATTACTAATTTTTTTTAGAGTTGTGTAAATAATAAACAAATTATTTTGTTATTTTCTTCATTCCGCCCTATACAAGATTCTGAATTGTGCAATATTTTTATCCATGGCTTGGTTAAGATTTCTCTTAGCTAAATAAAGTGGATTAAATTCTGTGGGGTATCAAATTACAATGCAAGATTCTTATTTGTTATATAATAAAAGCTAGTAATAGAAATAATGTTTAAAAAAATTTTTGCATTAAATATTTTCATATGACAAGAGATCAGCTTTTATTTCGTTCCGAATTCGCTGCGAATATTTCCCAATTATGGTAATGTGAATACAGCCTAACTTGGGTAACTGGCACTGTCTATCAGTCTTCAAAAACGAATAAGATTAGTAGAGGTCAAGCACAGGCTGGCCATAATATAAAAATCAGAGTCTAGAAACTTGTGCAAAAAAAATATGCAGGCAATTTTTTTGGAATTGTTTTGGGAAGTGCTGGGACAATAATTAATGAGGGTTGGGTCGTGTTGATCTATTAGGAAGTCCAATTATTTAAACAAACATCAATATTCCTATTAAAAAATCAATGGTATAAAAAGTGACACCTATATAAAATAATTCATAGAAATATATTTCCTAGCGCCGCCCTGTAATGGTTCACTTTGATCGAAATGTCCAAATCTGTCAAAAAAAAAATTTGGACAGATATGGAAATTTAAGGGTTGTTTAGTAATACAATATGAGCGTTGTGTAACTTGCTACATTATAGAAAGAGCCAAAAATGTTTTTCGTATAAAAATAATCAAAACCAGCTTCCACTAAATGGTCCAAGGTCGGGAATCGTTTTTTAACGGAAATGCTGGTTCCTTGCAACGTCAGGACTAGCATCAAGTTCGCGTAACGCATCATGGTCCTTCGCATCATTTGGCCTCTCTCGTCGTCGCCTACCACGTAGGAGGTCACCTTCAGCATTAAGCTTTGATAAAATAACGTTATCATGTTAAGCATTATATAATAGGCCATAATAAAACATTAAGTGATCGGAAAGAAACATAAGAAAAAAAATTGGTTTTGGCTCTTAAACAAAGATTAATAGAATTGGATTGGCTAACAACGTAAATTTGAGGGAGGGGGGGGGGGGGGGGGTGATAAAAAAATATATCGTTAGCCAAAGGCGTGCAAAAAGCTATATGGAAATCCTGGCTACGCGTATAATTTTTTTTAAAATGTCTCATATTCTGAAATATGATTTATTCACGCCCGCGTGACAGTTCCGTTGTTTTTTGTCATGCCAATAAATGTGGATGGATTGGTTTTTAGATGAATAAAATTTGTACCGTGATTTAGGGTTATAATGGTCATCGACTTTAATTAAATTATTAACGGAAATTGGTGGACACGTTTCGGAAACAAGAACTTGGGGGAAAATGGTATACGTGAAAGTTTAAATTTTATTACATAAATTATAAATATAATATTTGTAATTGGCTTCGTTTAATAAGTATAATATTTTAGATGGCTCATTCTTAAATACACGCTCTTCTCTTTAATACCAGGTTTGCTTCATATAAGACTTAACAAATATTATTATCCAGTAAATTTAAAAGCATAACATTTTTAATCTGAAATTTTATAATACTAGAAGATAACCCGTCAAAAATGACGGGGAATGAGAATTTTCTTCTTACTTTTATGATAGTTGTTACCTCTTATTTGAAAATAATATCCAATAAATATTCTTTTAATCCCTCCTCCACCCCCCCCCCTTCATGCCAGGTTTAATCCGTTAAAACTAAGTGTAAATACTATGGTTTAGTTAAATCTTAAAACAATACCATTTTAAATTTTAATTAACCAATATAAATTTTTTTTAAAGTATCTGTATCTTTTTGAATACAAAATTGGTTAAGATACAAATACTTTTAAATAATATGTATCTTAGATACTTATCTTACAAGATACTTTCCAAAAGATACAAATATCCGCGATACTGCCCAAACCTGATTTATATAATAAATGCTTTAAAACTCGGTAGATAATTTGGATTTGTTATTGTTGAAAGGTGTTTTTTTTTTTTTGGGGGGGGGGGGGGGAGATAATCAAATCTATAACACCCCTCGCATACACATAGAGAATATATTTTATGGATGCTCAAGATGTAATAATTGTGCTATATTATAAAGAGTAATGAATAAAAATTTGTAATATTTGTAAAATAGAAACGAAATCGGATATCATTTTTTTTCCAGGAGCGCATACCAGAACGTTCCGAAACATGGAATTGAAACAAACCAAAAAAAATGTCATAGTTCAAAAGCATTTAGACTTAGTCTAAACATCAATATTTTTAATTTTTTTTACAAGGGGATATAATTATCAAAAAATAAGTTGAACCAGGTGACGATCCAAAAATTTTTTTATTAAAAATAACCGTAATATTTTTATTATTAGCGAACAAACCGAAATCCGATTTCGAAAAAAACGCTTATTGTTTTCGGGTGCAGATCGGATGGAATAGCGGAACGATTTATAAAAAGACCCCCTGCTCGGATTACTAATACTAGATTCGCCTCCTTATTTAAATTATATTATATATTGATTTTTTTCCCCTCCTTTTATCAAAAAAAAATAAAATTGAGAAAATTTAAAAATATATTATTTTTTTATAACAATCGAATTATAAACTTATAAATAATATATAAAAAAAAAATTTAAAAAATATTATTTATATAATCCCAATAAGCCCCGTCCCGTTTTACCCTCCCCCATGCTTTATAATTGAGTGAGGTCGTTAACCTCGTTTACTTAAAAACGAAGTTTTTTTTCAAAAATGTTTATCTTAAAAAAAAATCCAAAATCATTTTTTATTATACATTTTATGGAATACCATCTTTTCTTAAAAAAAAATTCCATGACGTCAGTCAACGTAAAGCGAATTTTACCAAACAACGCCTACATTTTTAGTAAAAACAACACCCATTTTTTAGTACATATTATTCCAACCCTAACCCGCGTCACTGTTGCCTTAAAATACACAAAAAAAACCAATAATGTCAGACGGCTAAATATCAGTTATGAAGCAAGAAAAGGACTAGAAGCGTGAGACACGTGACTAATTCGTGAGATCTGGCGTCTAGATCTAAAGGGTGAAAGTTCGCGGGGGCGAATCGCACATTTATGTTGTTTTTGTTTAACAAAATATAGTAAAATTCAAGGGTTTCATACCCGATCAGGGTTTAGGAATCATTTAGCTCCTTTTTTTGTCAAAATAAACCTACAATTCCAAATTGAATCCCAACCCCGCGCAATCCGTAAATAGTCAGGGGTTAAGTGGTTATCCAAAAAAAATCTATCCCTGTTCGATCCATGTTCGCAAAGCGTCTCCTATTAAAACAATTACAAATTTATGGACCTCGAATCGGGTTTGAATCCTTGTCGCTCACTCTCGGTGAGTGATGAAGTGACACCCCTTCCATTTTATAATCTGACAGAACATATATGAATCCATTAGGAAAATTGCTCTTAAAATTTCCATATTTAATAATTATCCACAATTAAATTATTAACTATGGATGCATAATGTATTATTCTTTATTAATTGAATTGATATGACAAACAAAAACAAACAAACCAATTCTTTATTACGATGCAAAAAATATATATTTCAAAAAATTATTTTACAAAATATCAAAAAAAAGATAACAGGTGTGCCATCGAGGTCAACCAATAGTGATACTTCTTTTTTTCTCAAGTAATTTTTATATTTTATAATTTTCGAGGAGTATTATGTAAATATACCGCATAATTAACTCGCAATTTGAATAATAATGTAAAAAAACCGGAAACATTCATATTCTCTTGGAAGGAAATTTTAAAAATTTCTTCTAATTCTCCTCCCCCCCCCTCGATCCGAGAATATTTAATTAAATTCTAATAATTGAATATTAATTAGAAAAAAAAGTTTCAACAATATTTTGATTTTCCTCAAAGGCATTTTTCTCGGAAAATATTTGTAAAGATTTTTTTTTATCGATTCTTCCAAAAAAAATGCCGCTTCGAAGAGAATTTGATCTTATTTAAGAATAACCCATTCCAAAAAATAGTAAAAAAAAATTAGAAATAAATGCGTGGAAAGGTTAATTTTCCATAAATTGCAATTATAGATAATTTCAAGATGTGAATCTGTTCAGGGTAGTCTTCGTCGGGGTTATCGAGTTATTTCGACTCCTGAAATCTTTGAAATCAGCCAGAGGAGTGATATCATTTATAGAATGAAGAGCGTGAGTTGAACTCCTTCATTCTCCGATTAATTAATTTCATATGATATTATTTCGATCAATTATAATTTCAAAATAAATTAATGCATTCGAATTTATATTATTGGAACTTAGGACTTCTTTATTTCTTTGGGGTTTTTACTCTATTTAATATGTCCATAACACCGGGAGTCAACCATTACTCATTTTAGGCTAAAATTTGGGACATTTTTTTTAGAAAGTTTCTCTAAATTCCCAAAATTTCCAGGGCGGGAATTTTACCGTAGTAAAAGTAACATGAGAAATTGACATAATACAAACCTGACCATGGAACGGATTACTATAAAAAATAATCTCACGTCCTATGCAATAAAATTTATATTTTTTAAAAAAAAAATCATATAATCAAATGTTTAGAAGAAAAAAAAATTACTTCGCAATAACTTGCGAAAATCTGATTAAAGAAAAAATTCTAAGTCGTTATGATTTGGTCAGCATAAGAGAGCTGATTCGATATTATTGAACATTTTGTTGATAAGCACCATGGAAGGAACGACATCTAAGGGGGTCAAGTCAAGATAAGTGAGGGAGGGGGTAGGGGGGGGGGGGGGGGTGATCACTTTTTTGAGGCTTCACTATCAATATTTTATTCATCTTATATTTCAACAGAGTGGGAGGGATTTATTGTAACATTTCATTTCACGTCCAAGCTGATTGATGGTGGACTCTTAAAACCACGAAATCTGATTTCAGGCGAAATATATCCTAGCCTCAGCATCGATGTATTTGGTGGGGCATAACGAATGGCTCAACCGATAAAAGACAGGGCGGGGAGGGGGAATTGGCATCGCGCCACAAGACTTTTTTCAGCGGAGAGCTTTTTTCGGCACACGCCTTGGGATCGGGGTTTGAAAACTTGGGCTAACATGGTTCCTTTCTAAAAAAAAGGGTTCCGATTTCTTAAGCATTTGAAATGTATTATGATTCCGTCTCTTGTTCAGTTGGGAGAAAAAAATTTTTAAACATATACCCTCAAAAATTAATCATACACCATCTTGAACAAAATACATAAACTACATCGCACTTTATTAACATTTTTTCCTCTTGTCCAATCCCCGGTGGGAGCCATTTTAATTCTGAAACTAACCTAATAAAAAAAATAATGGCTCAATATCTACCCATTTATCGTTCGACATTTTTGTTTTTTGAGAAAGGGGGGGGGGGGGCGGGTGTACTTGTTAACAAAGGCAATTATATAAATAAATTAGTGCTATTACGATTTACTTTCTCTCCCCCTCCCAATATTTCCGGGATCAGTAAAAAAAAATTTTATAAATAATTTATAAAATGTTTCTACTTTCCTGGAGGGTCTTTAAGAAAAAAAATTAAATCATTTTAAATTTCTGATATCTCGTCGGAAATGAGAAATGTTATATAAAGTGCAAAAAAAATTAATATAGCTGTCATAAAATTGATTAATATATATACGTGTCTGGCCAGGGAATAGCGTTGTACTGTTGCCACCATCGTCCCACTATTAAGGCGACGTAAAATCCGAAGACGAACGAAAGCGGTATGAGATCGGTATAGGTATGGCAATACAGTGCTATTTTCTCGAATATTCTTTAAATTATTTATACAAATAATAAAATAATGTAAGGTGATTTATTATTAAAAAACCATTAAATTGATGGTCGAAAAGGAAATGTTCACAAAAATATCCTATTTTTTGGGGAGTTTATATCGAAAATAATAATGAAAGAAATATAAAAATAAACTAATACTTAGCGCTAGCACTAAATGAGTTAGTTAATTTGGTATCCGAATTTTTGATATTACATTTCTCAATAAATGTCACTCAACTTAAAAAAAACCGATAATCCAGTAATATTGCGCCGGACCTAATACCCTACATTTTTAGGAATAGGAGCCATAGTGTCCAACAGGCCGGTTCAGCCCGTGGGCCGGAAATATGAACATCATAGGCTTGGGTAGCGGCCCGAAAAAATATTATAGTTAAATTTCCTTCCTATTCTTCCTTTTTTTTCCTTGCCCGATTGAATATCACTGTAAAAACATGAATATTCATTTTTTTAGTCAGGAGTTGCATAACATTAAAATAGGATTGAGTTTGAGATTCCTTCCCTGTAGGTTGAAAAAAAAAAAATTAAAGTAGCGTGCCACAATGGGCTGGGTCTATTATATAAAAAAAAATGGCGACCTGACTGAGCGGGCCAAAAATTTTCGATTTTGCAATTTATAAGGAACACATTTTGATTTTCAAGGATTTAATGCTAATCCTATAAGAACCCCCTTTTTAAAATATAAAGAACCCTGTTCTAAAAATGTGTAGATAGGTAACTATTCTATATTGTTCAAAAATTTGTGTTTCGGGTTCAGTATGAAAAGGTTCGGGTATTTTTTTTACCTTGGTTCATTTAATGTTTAAATTCTGAACTAGGATCTCTTTTTTCTAAATTTTCAGGAAACCGGAAATGCCTTTAGTAAAAAAAAAGCATTAAAATCCGGAACCATTTTTAGTCCAAGTCAGGATTCCAAACTCTTATTAGTTTTAACCAGAAAGCCGCGCGGTTGGCACCGCAAACTTAAGAAAAAAAATGGGGCCCGCCAATTTCCGCTAAATAGTTTTTCGGTCGGACCGCGCAGTCCGGGTAAAACATTAGGCGCCGGGCAATTCGAACCATGGTTTTTAAAATAGAAATTATTAATTTTTTAGAAAAAAAAAATATATTTATAAAATGCCTAGTTCCAACATGAAAATTATTTCTCTAATAAATAATTATATACATTAAATTTTTAAGTGAACGGAAGTTGTTTTAAAAAAGTAATCGCAAATTACTATTATTTTTTCTAAATTTACCCTTTAAAATTAAAACGTTTTAAAATTAAATTAAATATAAATAAGTAAGGGTTATTTTTAAATTTTATTTTTGTATAAATCAGAAGTTGTTCAATAAATAAATGAATTTCCTAAATCGATAAATCTAATTAGATAGCTAAATTATAATAAAGAGGTTTTATCGTAACGATCTTTTGGCACTATGCTCAAAAATCCTGGGATGGCTTATATAACAAAGAAGAAAAAAATTTATGCGCCCAATGAGAATTTAGATAAATCACGTGATTCGTAATAACTTTCAAAAATTATTTTTTTTAAAAAAAATTATTTGGTTAATCAGGAATCGGAAACCAGAGCCGAAACCCCGATTCTAAGCTCTTTATAGAATCCTGGAAGCCGTCATGGGTGAGCTAGCCCTTGGGTCAGGCTCGCTCGCGATTTTTTTATAAGCTTAGCTTATTGGGCTAAGATTATTCCTCATAATCCACTCCAGACAGAAATTGCAGGGATAAAAAGACCCGGGCATAAGTACCTGGACAAAAAAAACGCACAAACAAATTAACTATTCAAAGCGTTAAAAATTTTGTTTAAAAAATTGGGGCAATATTGTCCTGTGTCTTTTGGTCCGAGGTACTTTTACCAGATTCTTTTTGTTCGTGACATTTATGTCAGTAATTCGTATATTCACATTGAATTAGTGCGACCGGTTTGGCAAAAAAAAATATGACCTTTTTGGACAAAGATGCCTACGCGTATGCTGGATAAAACTTTTATAAAGTTCTATTTTAAAAAAGGCAGTATCGAAGTGGGAACTTAATGCACTTCAAATGGTTAAAAATTAATAAAAACGCAAACTGGTTTGCTTTATTTTTTCAAAAACGCTCAATTAGGCTGCACTATAAAACTCCTGTATATTTTGCTTTGTCTTTTCACAAATAATTTTAATTAAATTATTTTGGTTTAAAATAAATATCTAGTAACTTTCGTTAATGGCCCAGGGCACATATTATAAGCTTAATCTAGCTTTAAAATTTCTTTATCAAGCCAAAAATTTATTTTTTTTTTGAAATTTTAAATATTTATAATATGAATAAATATATACGAAATTGCAAAAAAAACTAATTTCACTTTTTCTATATAATGGAAGATGAAAAAAACAATTATAAGTTTTTTTTAATTATTATATACACAATCTTTATAGAAAATATAATCTATTGCAATTTTATTCAAAGTTTTTGATAAAACATATTTTATTGAAAATTTTTCATTAGTCACAATCATTTTTATAAACCCTGCTCATTTTGTTAAATTTATGTTTATTAGGCTGTGTCCTAAATATCAAAATATAAATTTATTATTTTAATGAAAATTGAAAAGATAAGATTATAACTTATATGTCAAATCAAAAATTAGACAAACCATGATTAATAAAGATAAGAATATTTTTATAGGAAATTAATTATTATTATTCAGCTAGGTGCATGCATATAATAAGGGATCCAAACCATAATAAAAATCTATTCAGTTCAGATAAAAATGATAGTTTAATTCAGAGACTCAAAATTCCAGCCCTATTTTTGGCTCAGGTATATGGTCCAGGCATATAATTATTTTAAATATACCTGAGCCAGGCCTAAAATAATTTTAAATACCCCGACCAGCCTCAACATTTTTTTAAAATACTTTGGCAGGGCTGAATATTTCACCATTATTAATTATAAAAAAATTATAAATAAAGATAATATATTTTTTTTAAAAATAAAGGCCAGTTCATGCATATGTTGCTTCTGTAGGTACTGGTTTAATTTAAGGTTTAGGTTTGGTTCAAAAGTAATATTGGATTAGTTTGAACTAGGGGTCTGAAATAGGCAGTTATGCCGATGTGACCTGTCAATATACTTTAGGTGGGCAGGTTAAAATATTTTGAACATTAGGCAGATAGGTTTAAATGATTTTCATAAAATTGTATAAATTTAAAAAATAATAAAATATAACAAATCTTTTGTTGAGCCATATTTCTGATATAAAAAATTTAAGCAAATCATTGTTTATTGATGAGTATGAAATCTTGCTTAAAAAGATATTAAATATATTTGTGATCATATTCAACCCTGGTTACAAATTAAACCAATTTTTCTAATATATTCCAGAATATAATTAGATCCTAAATGTTTACTCATTTTCAAAAATAATATATTGTTTTTATAAATAGAATAAGATAAGATAAATAACAGTAATTAAAAGCTCAATTTAAAAAATTTACTTTACCTTTTCTGCACAGGTGTCAAGCACCATCTATATATCATGCTAAGTATAGTATACAATCCAATGAAAATAAGCATTTCTCTATACATCAGTTTATAAATACTCCCTTTCCATCGAAGAAGCAATTTTCCGAAACCTCCCATAGTTGCATTTGCAACAGAATAAGAATAGGTTATAGTCATTTGATATGAGATTTAATATGATTTGTGAAATAAATTCATAACATAAATTCTTTTAACTAGATGGGCCCCGTCTCAAAACAGAAATCAACATTTGGAAAGTTAAATGTCAATTAATATTCTACTTGTCCAACTTTTATTATTGAAATCACAATAATATTTAACTAAAAATAAATATTATTATATAATTCAGTATTGTTAATTTTGTTTCCCTAAGTGTTAATATAAAATTAATATTTATATTCAAATTACAGATTATGCATTCAAGAAAATTTTATGGAGACAAAGCTATAATGTTGTTAAAAGGCCAGATTTGTGACTAAAACGTCTCGATTAAGATTTAATATTAAATAATATTAAGCATGGAGATACAAAAAATTTGGACCTCTATACAAAAAACTCGAGGCTTGTATAATATTTTTTGACTAAAATGGTAATCACGCCTAAAAATGGTCTCAAATCGGGCCATTTAACAACACTCAATGATATAAAACTACAACACTAGAAGCCTCTAATCAATCCTATCCCTACCCCACTCAAAAATATTATATTCTCCGGATTCAGTTTTCGCAACTATACCCAAAGTTGCATAAAATAATGATATTAATAAAAAAGATATGTGCTTAAGTTCACAACCAACCTCCCCAATTTAAATTGAACTATTTTCAACCTCTTGCATATGACTTGAAATAACAACTGGTAATAATCAACTTCTTGTTATTCTGTATTCTAAAATTATCAGAGTAAATTTAAACTGTATAAGTTAGGCCAATGATAATACACACCAAGCGTAATATATTTTTATATTTTTCATATAATATTTAAACATGTCTCGAATTGTTAATTACATATGAAAAATATATGAATTCTATCGTTTGAGGCTTAATCGTTATACATTGACAATGAAACAAACCTTGGTTAGAATCATCTTTCTTTGAAGCCAACTTGGTGGTAGTAAAAAGGATTTGATCAAGTGATTCCGTTAGCGTATATTAAAAAATAAGGAAATCTTATTATAATTAGGCAGAATTTTATCGTTTTTAAGCAAATGTTTGAGGCAGCGTCATCTACAATTTCTGAGCGATCGAGGCAGAATGCCCCCTAAAATATAGCACCCCTCTCCCTTCAAAAAAGTAGTTTATATATCATTGAGATTTCTTCTTTCGATATTCATATCATAATAGTAATTTTAACCTCACCAACACCTTTACATCCATTACCATTACTTATTAGATGAGATTTGAGAGAGTCTTAGACAAAAGGCCAATGTGCTTACCCTCATGTATATTGAATTTATTAAGTCATAAAATTTAAATTTTTACAGCAAAAAAAAGAGTTGTTTATTTCATGCCAACCTGACTAACTCCGTGATGATATAAACAGGTCATTCAAATCCATATTTCGAATTTTAATAGATTCTATAACATATGGATACGAAGTCCCTCGATTACGAAGTTATTAAAACAGAAATTAACATTTCTCTTCCGAACCCGATAATAAACGATATTGGTGAAAATTTTCAAATTTCCAATAAGCAACAAACATCTCTCATTTGTCATGCCAAAAACCCTCAATTACCCAATAAATCTTTAATTCAAAAACGCATTGCCTTTGCTAAAAAGAGTAAAATCAATAAAAAAAATAAAATTATTAATGTTAAGGACAGACACAGAACTAATAATATAAATCAAATATTGTGTTTAAGGGATAATGATATAAATGATCCTTCTCAATGTGAATCGTTGTTAAATACTATTGTGACACCTAGTTCTGACCATTCAGATGCTGATCTACTTATCTCTCTTAAAGATATACCCTCCTTTTTTAAATTATTTAATGAACCTAATATCGATTTTAACAATATTAGTAAAATTATTTCTCATGATGGTAATCAAGACAAATTTCTTGTTTTAAATGATACACTTAGAAAAAATGATCATACCTATGATAAAAACCAGATAACTCTACAAATTACAGATACATCCTTAGATTACAAGTCATATGGTAAAGATCAAATTGAGAATACATCCTCTCCGATTTTTAGTAATGTAGTTGCTTTTGATTCTAATAATGATCCTAGTCTCAATTATGCAACTTCCAATCCATCTAATAGTTTAAGCTTATCAAAGTCCGAACTATTTAAAAATACAAAAATTAATGAAGAATTTGAAAAAATTTATGGTCAGCAATTTCCTGTAAATTGCAAGAATATAAATGGACAGTTTTATAGATCTCGTTTTGGCTCAGGTATATATATATATATAATTATTAATATTTAAACAAATTTTATTTATTATCATGTATTAAAATTCATTTTTTGCCTAATGAGAGAATAAAAAAACTGGGTGGTTTGTATTTAAGAAAGACCATACCATTTTCATGCTCAATCTTCTAAGACCCTTTTTGACTTTATCAATGAAATTTTAAAATTCATAAATTCAAATGGCACCCCAAAACTGCTAGAGATAGTTGTAAAAATGATAACACATATTTATAAACTTACATTCTAAGTCAAATACCCTTATATTTTGACTAATGTATCAAATTTATTTTGATTTTATAGGCCCATGACTTATTTGAATGCATTGCCAAAAAGATTTAAATAAAAAAATAATATTATTTTCTGGCCACAAACCAAGATTTATATCATGAATCTATGTGAGAAAATTTAGAAAGTTTTGGAACCCAATTTAATTTTTGCTCTTTTACATATTAAAATTGGGTCTAGATGCATTGCATATGGGCTACTTCATTAAGGTGAAACATTTTTACAACAACAAAAATATAATTTTTGGCCATTGGTTGATGAAATTTCTTCAAAAAGGGAAAAATTTTCCAAATCAGGGATGGATCTAAACTAACAAATATCAGTTAGGTTCAGATAAAAATAATGGCTTGGACTTGGTTTATAAATTTTATTGGCAACTCATTTGAACTTTTACACTTATCATAATTAAATATTTTAAAATTAAAAATCAGATCAATCAATTTAACAATATAAGCTGATTAACCAATAAAATATAAGCTGTCCAATTTATGTTCTTGATAATTCAAACAACTAATTTTTCCAAAATTTTGAGTCCCAATCAAATTCTTAATTACTATGTGTGTGTGATGTTTAAAAATAAATCAGGCCAAAATCTTGAACCGTGCCCAAATTAGATAGGTTTATTGTACTTTTAAAATAAATACAAATTATCATTTTCAAAATTGATACTTTCCTAAGATACAATCTTTCAATACCAAATATTTAGGTAACAAAGGTAAATGCATATTTTATGATGGAAACTGGTTAACCCCAAACGAGTTCGAAACTTTAGGTGGTAGGGGTAGTTGCAAGGATTGGAAAAAAAGCATACGGATTTCTGGTAATAGGCTGCAATCCTTGATCGGGAAAGGCATTCTGAATCCACATTCTGCCACATGTATTTGTTCGGTGTGCAGTGAAAATGAAGAATCGGTATAAATAAATATATTTGCATAAAAAATATTCATCTTCTTTTTTTTTTACTTTTGAAGCCGAGTTCATCAAAAATGTTGAACTCTCCACGTTTTAGCTCCAACCCCTTTTTTGGTTTATGGCGAAAAATCGAGAGAAATATCCTATTTTTTTAATATAATAAGATGGCATATTTTTAATAATTAACCTGAGCTCGATAATTATTAAATTATATTTATTTTTTTCAAAACTAAGTTCTCTCGGACAGATATTTTCTTCTGACTCTATCGGGTACGGATCTCGGTTTTATAATTTATATCGGCTCCTTCGGGCCGGGCTTGACTGGACTCGGGCATCAACAAAATTCCGAATTTTACTTTCCCCTAAATATTTTTTTTAGCTAATATTATTTTCGAAATATAATTAACACAAAATCGTAAATTATACTTCGGCGCTAATTTTTTTCCGATTTCATAAAAAAAATTAAATAAATACCCTATTTATTATATTTTAATAGAACAATATAAAAAAAAATAGTTAAATTTCGCTTATTTCGAAAAATGTAACAAGTAAACCGAAACCAGTTACATTTTTTAGTGTCGTAATTTGTAACTTTATCAACCCAATACTTATATTTTTTTTTGCCATGACACTTTTAATTTTATAAACTTATCAGGAGAACCTGCATACCCATGCCATATCCTATAGCCCGACTTTAAATTTAATTTTTTGTAACCCGGGAGAGGCTTTTTACAAGCCCGGGACTCAGTGGAAATTTCTGTTAACCGACTAAATGATGTATGGATTGTATCAATTGATAAAACAATTTTTAAAAAATATCTCACGGTACGAATCATATCAAGCATTTAACTTCCCCAAGAACTCCTTTTAACTCCCCCTCCCCCCCCCCAAAAAAAAAAATAATTTTATCTCTATAATTTAGGAATCTCCTGTCCGCTTTTTTATGCCCTATAAGAGGAGGAAGAAAACCATTTCCTTTGACCAGCCATCCCTTTATCTCGGCAACAACGAATATAATGGCGAACTAGTAAAAACGCGAACGAAAGGAGATCTTTCTTCGACGGGCGCTAAAAGTTTGGACTCTAATTACTATTCTGGCCTAGCGTCTCAACCCAATATTATCAAGAAAAAATCTATCATACTTACTACCCAGAACGTCGAAATTGATCCCACCAATGATGGGCAAGTTGAAGAAACGAATGTAAATTTGATCGCGACTACTAATAACGCAGAATTCAAAGGCGCCATTAACTCGACTATGGATGGTGTAAATAGTCATAATATGAATCGGCAATTCCTATCTTTACCAGGTTAAATAATGATACCTAATATTTATCATTCCCCCCTAAAAATTTATAGTTATCGGAGAAATGGAACCAAAATTGTCCTCTTACATTCCGCCCAACCATGATATAAGCAAAACGCTCAATAGTTTGATATGGAGCCATATCGAAAATGTTAGATTTCATAATTATTAATATTACCCATAAAAAAAATGTTTTACTTCCCCCTTTTTTTTTAGGCTTTGGACAAGATCATTAACGAGACCAAAATTTTAAAAGCCCTTTTGTCCACCATCCAGAGTAACGATTATTCGACGATGGATCGCGACACGGATCAGAAGATGAAAGCGCTCGAGTTATATCAAGTATAAGTAATAAATTTGATATTGTAATTAAAGCCACTTAGGCTGTGTGTGTCCATGTTCGCAGCCCTAAAAAGTAAAGGGGATTGTTTAGCCCTAGGCTAAACAGCGATAAGTTACAAAAGTAGGTTGAACCGAGATACACAGCCTTAGGGGCTATAATGTTCGCTGTAATTTAAAAAATAGATATCATAGGTCTGCAAGTCCGGACCACAATCCCGGGCTGAATTTTTTTTTACGAAACCCGCTCCGGACTGATTTCTAAAAAAGCAAAATAATATTATACTTGTTTAAACATATTTTTAAAAAATGTTTATGCAGATATAGATGCATGGACTAAAAAAATGATATTATTATATCGAGATTTAAAATAAGATACTTTTTTTATAGCCATTGTAAGGTGGTAATAATGTTAAAAACTGAAAGTCTTTTATTTAAAATATTAAATAATTGTAAAATTATTATTATTTTACATTATATAGTTTCCATTTCCATCACTAAAGTATCCCGTTTAACCATAGACACAACTTTTAGCCACGTTGAAAAATATTTCAATTGGTGAGCAGGAACGTAATTTAATGTTAACATGTTAATCGCGCGAAATTTTTTTATTGGCCAAAATAAATAAAAGCAATCTTCTTATTGGTCAAATTTATTACCTTTTTTCTTCACGGTGATTTTGCGCAATTTTATTGCTTGCGTAAGAGTGATATATAAAAAAAATATATATAATAAAAATCACTACATTTAGTCTTAAAAATAATAAATCTGAAGTTTGATGGGTTTTAAAAAATCGATACCTTCTTTATCCAATTTGGAAATTTTGAAAGTTTACCGATTAATCGTTACGTCAATCCTTTTCTCGTTAAATTTTTTCGGCATTCCAATTAAGCTCGAAAAATTTGTTAATGACGTATTTATTGTTTTTTTTTCTCTCTTCTCTTTCATCTTTGTGAATAGCGCTAGTATATTAATTATCTAAAAAAATTATTATTAGCTACCATTTACCATATTCCTCCATAATCCACTATTGTAAAATAAAACTTGTCTTCAATTGAAAAATAAATAAACTCTGACAGATATTATATACAATTTTTTTTTTTACAAAAAAAAATTCGGTTTAAAATAATTATATCGAAATGTATCTTTAAATAGATTCGGATGCAGCTTAATATATATATATATATATCTAAATACCAAATCGATACTTTAGAAATCATGCAAAATACAACAGTTCCAAAAATTATTCAAAATAACGGATTTTTAGAAATTGCGGGCAGAACCATAAATATTTGATCTCCGCAAGTCTCTGATAAATATTTTAAGACAAAAATGAATTTTAATTCATATGAAATATTTTTTTATTTAAAAAATTAATCAGTTTTTTAATATAATCTGATAAACAGTGAGATTTTTTTTTGAACCAGAGACAAAGCTCATTTGTGAATGGGGAACAAAAAAATCAAAAGCAAAGCAAAAAATAGATTATAAAAATTAAAAAACAATAATATTATTTTACGATGCCAATTTTCATAAATAATTTATTCTTTAAATTTTGTAAAACTAAAAATAACACAAATGGAACTAAAAAATATTGTAATATAAGGTTTTTAAATTAAACAGGATATCTGATCAAATTTTACCTAAAATTCCTAAGTTAGTGATTTTTATGCAAAAAAATTTTCATGAGAAAATTACAGTATATTTGTAAAATATTTTTTTGATCTTATGCAATAAAAGAGTTAAATAATTGTTGAAAATATTTTTTTGCTCAAAATTTTGGGTGAAAAAAAATCTTCAAATTTTTATTATTTAAACCCTGTAATAAAAGTGAATATATATATAAATTTTTAAGAATAATTTTTTTTTTTGAAAAAAAATAAATTTAAACAAAACAAGAAATTGAACGATATATCAAGTGGTATGTTTGATAGATCTCAAAATTCCACTTCCGCCAGCCTCAATACGAGCCAAATAAATTCGTCCGGTTTTAACCCCGAAACGCGAAATATCATTCCAAATAATTCCCTCTTAAATCCGTTTTCTGCGGCGACTGTACCTCTACTATTTATAACGCCGGATAATCTTGCTGCTCCCAGGAATTATAAATAAAACCTCCTTATTTCTCTTTCTTTTTTCTTTCTTTCTTTCTTTCTTTCTTACTTAATTTATTTATTTATTTATAAAATTGGAATTAAATTATGAATCATAAATTGTATATATTTTATAATTGATAATTACACATAACTTTTATATCGTTTTATTTTGTAACAAGTTGCATAGATAATAAAATATTTATAATATTTTTATTTTAATGAAAAAGCCTCTATTTTTTCTACTTCTTAGATCAGCCATTTAAAATTTGTTCAATATTTATTTTTTTTACGAAAAATAAGTTTAAGTTAATTGAATCATATTTAAAGCTTTATTCTAATAGTACTGGTTGTATTGTTTTTAAGCAATATTTTCTCTATATTATATTCAGTTTAATTATTACCCACACAATTTATAAAAAAAATAAATTATTATTTGATATAAAGAAACTTCTGATTGTGTTTAAAATAAACATGATTATTTTTTTTAAACAAGTATGTGTTGGATAAGTTTTGATTCACTAGATTTTTGACAACAATTACTATAATTCTAATTAAATAATTGATATGAATGTATTTCCAACAAAAATATTGGTATAACAGTTGCTAAACTTATATAATAAATGTAGTTTGAAGATCAAGAGATGGCTTAATCTTTTTAAATTAAAATTTATTACGCAAATATATTTGCAGTAAAATTCAAAGCAAAAAATATCACGTGGTAAATTAGACATATAAATATTAAGAGTTTGTTTTTTAGGGTATTCATTTGATTGAATTAATCTCTACTTTAATTCATCTCTTATGAGCTAGAATTTATATTTTATCAACTAAATTTCACTTTATTGAAATTCTCTTTAAAATAAAATATTCATAATTTTTTTCACAAAAGATACACGAATTTATTTATTACCGTGGCGTCGCTAAGGGGGGGGGGGAGCGCAGGGGCTCGAGCCCCCTGAAAAATTTGAATAGCCCCTGAAGCAAAAAAAATTTTTTTCTAATGGCTCCTTAATATCTTCTTGAGCTAAAAATAAATTTTTTTAATTGCCCTCTGATTAATTACTTTTATAATTCTATTGAGTAATATATAGATTTAATTTTATTAAAAAATTATTAAGACTATGTTAATTTTTATTAAATGAATACTATTTTAATTATTAGATTAGATTATTACATATAAATTATACTATGTCAGCTTGCAATCAAATTCTGTGTTAAAAATATAACAATATCACTCACTAAATATTAATTTAGCTTTAACAGTTGAAGCTTAATTGATATTATTTAAATCATTATATAAATAACCCTAATAAATATAATCATTTATTAATTGAAAATTAATAATTTAATATTTTAGCCGAGTTCAAAATCACTAATCAACTATATTATTGATTTTTAAATTTATTTATCATGTCTCTTCCTAAAATTATTTTCAAGGTCTAAATCCAAATAAGTATAAGAGATTTATTTATAAAAAGTAAGTAGACATATATAGTTTATAATCCTCTATTATATATAATTTTTTATAAAATATTAGGTAAAATGCCACTTTTACTGAAGTATCTGACAGTTATATAATATACCCACAATAGATGTAATAAATTAGATATCTTTTCTTCTCTTTTTTACGTGTTTTTAGGAAAGCTATATTTTTCTTCTTCGAAAAATAGATTTGAGTTAAATCTTTAATACAAATATATTTTTGATTTTATTACAAACTACTATAATTTTAAGATATAATACCAACTAGAGATGGTGTGACAATAATATATAAAATCTTAATTGCTTTCTTGGTATCACTCTGGTTCTTGTTTTGTAGTTACAAAATGTTTTATTTCTAATATGGCATCCTTGCCGTGTAAATAACTCAAGGCTTCAATATATTTGCATAATTTCTTCTAAAGGTTTTAATGTTTTTGTTTTATCATAACAGAATAAATTGTGATGGGTTACCATCGTGAGTGTCATGGATAGGACTGCAAATTAACCAGCATCTATTATTTGTGTGGCTACGTAATTTAAGATTATTACTACAGCTGCAGCATATAATCGCATATTTTAGATAAGCAATAGGTCAACTGTGTAGTCGTTTATATAACATTGAAAATGGAAGATAATCTTTTAGAAATTTAATATCATACAATAATTTTCCGATTACTTATCTGGCTTCCATCATGTCATCTAAGAGGAAGCTCTAACCACGATATAGTTTTATGATTTGGATTAGTCGTTTATATTCTCTTCTTCAAGAATTGTAGATTTGGTAAGGTCTATAAATTTTTTCTTATTAGTCCATTCTATAAAACATTGTCTAAAATGGTAATAGGGAGTTATATTAGTTACAACCTTTATTTTCATTTATTATTCTTTAGACGCAAAATCATTTTATATCAACAAAAGAAAATATTTTATACTGTAATAAATATATTTTCTATTAAAAAATATTAATTTTAGAAATGTCTTGTATTATTTTTATACGCTAGTTTATTTATGCAAAATATAATATATGACATTCAGAAAAATTATTTAGAGTTAGTAAATTTTAAAAAATTATAATATATTAATATAAAACACGGCCGAAGGCCGGGCAAAAGATGGCCGAAGGCCCGCAAATTAAGAATTATGGGGGGCGAAGCCCCCATAAAATTTTTTTAGTTGAGCCCCCTGAGATTGTAAAGGCTAGCGACGCCCCTGATTCCTCTTTATAAACAATCATATATGATAATTGTATTTTTCCATTCAAACCACGAAAAATATATACTATATTTCAACACTTTATAGCACACCCACCTCCTCCGAATATCGAAGACTATTTTTTTTATAAAATCCAAAAAAATAAATAACATATGAAATTAAGCATATTAGTACCGCATTACTCCTGGCCCAACAGGAGATGGACGGGATAGCGGAAAAATATATTAAAATAATAAATATTGTAAACCAAATCTAAGTTAATTAATCATATAAATTTATTAAGGTTAAAAGAAAATTAAATCATTCTAGTTCCCCCTTTTTAAAAAATATTCAATTAATATGATCGTAAAAATAAATGTTTCAAATTAAAATGATATTGACCTCGTGATATCTGTTTCACAAAACAGTTTTCGCCATATTATCTTCGCGATTTGTGTTTTGCGACGATGACTTTGCTATTAAACATTCGCGATAAATGTTTCGCTCTAATAAATTCTCTTTAAAGGTTTCGTGATAGGACTTAGCTATATAAAATTCGCGATATTTTTCTCGATATTGTCTTCGAGGAATAGTACTTGCTAATGTAGATTTTTATTCAAAATTTCGCTGAAAAATCTCTTCGTGATAGACGACTTTGGTGAGTAAATCTAAATGTATGCTATAAAAGTTTTGCTGAATTGACATGGAACTCTTAATTAGTACATAATATTTCTTGAATATATTTGGTAGACAGTTTAAGGTGGAAAAATGTTATTAAGAAAATAATAAAAAATGGCTATATGCCAGATCGAAGAATATAGATGCTCTAAATGTATATTTACATTAATATTTAGTGCTTTACTAATTCATTCATTATTTTTCCACTCACTTAACACAATCCAGTTACAAGCTTAATAAAAACTATAATGGTAAACCTTAGTTGAATCTTGATGTCGGAGTTCTAAATGCAATAAGGTGACTTTTCTCTTTCAAAATATGAGGTATATAATTATTTATTCTTTTATAGTAATGTAGAAGTAAAATAAATAAAATTGATTTAATTCAAGTTACATTTCCAAATCATATTGATTAAGATGCAGCATAAACATGAAGTATGGCAAACTTTAGAAATCAATAATTATAATTTAAGCCAATATTTTTAGCTTAATTATATATTTTTACATACTTCAATCCTTTTGGCACAATAAATAAAAAGGTTATTAGCAAGATAGAAAAATTTCCAATATTATATTTAAGATAGAACAATAAAAAGTAGAATCATTAAAGCCAATTAAAATTGATAAAATTTATTAATTCTTGATGTGAGATACTAAAATGCCTACGCATTATTATACAACTATAAATTATATAATATATGAAGTTTTCTAAAAATATTTGAATGTTACGAGTTCAATTTTATTTAATTTAGAATAAATTAAAGTTACGAGTTTAATTTTATTTAATTTATTTTAAAATTATACATCTCCTTTAAAACTAAAAATATCATGCTTATATAAAATGTTACAAACAAAAAATCAATTTACATATTAATATAATAATTTATATAAAAAATCAATTTTCACAAATTATAAAAAAAAATCAATATATATAAACATAAAAAAAACAATTTAAAGGTTAGTATTAATCGGTCATATCAACATATATAAAAATTTTACTATCATCAATGCTGGCTATGGCGTCAGAGTTGTCAGATATTCTTCACTTGAAAACGTGAGTTTTTCTTTTATAATAATTAATGGGGGACTTCGCCCCCATACTCCTCAATTTGCTGGCCGAAGGCCTGCAAATTGCCCGGCCTTATGCCGGGGTAATTGATGTAGCATACTCATCTAAGTTAATATATTATATTTAATATAACAAAATTTTAAAGACAAATTCTTTATTGATTTACTAATAACAATTATGATATTTAATTTTCTCATGTTTATAAATATAGCATAATATTAATTATTATTTTATGGCTGATTTTAAAAGAGGAAATAAAGATTTTCCATCGGCACTGTGGAGATAGGCTGAAAACTCTTTGCATGAATAGTTATATTTTGTTTAATAATAAGTTCAGCTTCCAAAGATGACGTTCTTTTCGTCAAGCAGTAGTCATTAGATTGAATATTCTCTCTGATGAAGCATTTGAATGCGGAATAGAAAATAGAAAATTGCATATTTTCTCTATCAATGGTGAGTTTTTATCAGAAAGAAAATCCATCCATTTTTCTTGGGTATTCATGTGATAGTTTTTTGATAATTTTTCTTCATAATAGGAATAAAATTGTGAATATTACTCAAAGAGAATTTCTGTATCTATGTTTGGTATTTTGTAATTACTAATAATTTTTTGTAATTGTACAAATTCTGGACATTATTTTAATGTCATAGGGCTAAGATATTTCCATATATTATCTATAATATCATATTATGTTGTAAAATATTTTTAGAAATGCTCCCATAAAAATTTTGTTGAATTTTTAAATTTAATGAATTCTTAGTTTTAGGATAAGATCATGTATATATATTGCTAATACATCTTCAGATTGCAATTGTAAATTTATGTTATTGACTAAAGTGCCAACGTTAAGGACAACACCTAAATATGCTTCTGCAAAATCATTTCCAAAAATTTTTCAAAATTGGTGGGGTTGCTGATAATGATAAAAAATATTCTTTAAGGAATAAAATACTTAAGCATCCGCTTAATCGCTGGGATTAATGTAAGCCAGCGTGTTGGAACATGGCGAAGTGATTCTGACCATTCTAAATTGCAACATTCTACCAATTCATTTAAAATTTTAACTCTTTTTGTCGAGTTACTAAATTCATTATAGCATTTAATTACTATACTCTCAATATCATATTTAAGAAAAATTATGGCCTTTTTAAACGAATTGTGAAGAATGTGGCATATACAACCAATTGGTATAATATTATTACTATGGCTTTTCAATTCTGTCCAAATACTTTAATTTTTCCTAAAGTTTACAGATGCGTTATCTGCACAATAGGCCGTTACATTAGCAATATCAAGTTCAGCGAATTTTAAATTTTCTAGCAAGCATCTGTGGCATCTTTAAAAAATGTTATACCAAAATGATTGCCTCATTACGCTGAAATTAAAAACAATATAAGTAATTTTCCACCCATAAGAGCTAAAATTGAACAATTAGAATTGACTATTGTAGAATTTTAATTTTTCCATGCACTTTTTAAATAGAAGAAGAAATTTCTTAGATAATTTCAAAAAATTAAAAAGTAAGAAGGGATTTTTATTAATTTAAAAGAAATAAAAGGAAAGTATTATTAAGATATCATTACAAAAAGTATGAAAATACAATATCTAATATAATCATATATGGTAATGTGGGGGGGGGGAGTGCAGAGGCAGAATGGCCATGCTGTGGTCTCCTAGTCAAAAGTTTTCCAGTGGCCTCATTTTCACAGCTTTTACCTGGCCCTCGGCATGTACCCATTTAATGGCGTGTTCATATTAGAGGGAACACTTGAACAAATTTTTGAAAATTCATTTATAACTCTTGTGTTTTCTAATATTATAGTCAATAACTTAAAAACTCAAACACTATTATTCTTTTTACATAATATTTATTTCTAAAGATAATATTGGCTAAATTATGATTAAAAAAAATTGCAAAGGGCTTGTGAAAAACATGAGAATAACAGCTTTATTCTAATGTCAATGAATTATAATCCTAGAAAGGCTTCAAATTTTGATATCTGTAATTAATTATTGTTTCAAAATTTATAATATATATATATATATATATATACACTATTAAATTTTAATTTGTACACTTCTCCCAATCATGTTACCCTGATATTTTTATTTATTGGATTTTCATAACTGTTTACTCAATCTCATTCTTTCATAATTTGATTATCAAAATTGGCTTTTGAAATTTATTCAAAGATTAAATTTTTAAATGATTATATATGTATTTTTTAAAAAAATATACACTCTGTAAATATATATTTGTTTATCCTACCTTAATATATTTATAATAATCTATATATATTTTAATAAAAATGTTAAAGAAATTTTTAGTTAGCTTTTTATATATATTTTTCAAAAATGGACACTATAATATAGAATATTACTTTATGTAAATAAATAAATATATTTACAAAAATAAACACACTAAGATAAAATTTCATTAAATAAATATAATAATGTTTGATTTGAAGTTGTTTCTGATGAATTTGTTGATGTTAATTCAATGTATTTTGATCCTTTAATTGCTTCATCAAAGAATGATACAAACTTGATACTTCACATTTGAAAAAGTATTTGTTTGAATGGCTTATACTTTCCAAGCCTTCTGATTTTGATTGTAGATAGAATCTGAAATAATATTAAATTTATAGATCAAAATATATATTTTACTGGCTCTCAGATGACACCCTTTTAAAAGTGCCAAGTCTTTTATCCATGAATGAGAGCATTTATTTTTGAACCAGTAGCCTTTGGTGTATCTTCTTTAGGACTAAAACTGTAAATAGTTTTTCTGTCCTTTATCATTGGCTCAAATTTGATATATTCATACCATCTGTATGAAAGTTTAAAGCAAGAAGATCTAGATGTTTTGCCAAATTTTATTTTGTTCAGTTTGTATCTCCAATAAGCTACAAATTTTTTTTGTAACCTTTTCATCCCTATTCTAAAATGATAATAATATCAATTAATATATTCTAATTCTAAAATTACATGAAATATATTTAATATATTCAAAATTATATAAATATCAATTAATATATTCTAAATGATATAAAATCAATTAATATATGAGATAAATTATTCTTCAATTTCGTATCCATTTTTAAATTTTAGATCTAAATTAAAAAAACATATGTTTTTAACACTTGCAGTAAAAAAAATCTAATTTGCTCAATACCATAATGCATTATTAGCTTTTAAAAGGGAGCTTTGCAACGCTCAATTTGTATGCACTATTATAAATATTTTTAAGAATATAATCATATTTTTGAAATTTTATTTTTTGCAAATGTGGAAATTTTACCAACACGCCCCAAAAGCGGGGTTAGGCAAAACTTCAAGGGTTTCATAAACATTTTGTATTTTTACATTTTTATTTATTAATAATGTAATGCTGCTTAGTGTTAATAATCCTGATCAATTGTCTAACTTTTTGTATATCTATTTACAATAAATATGTATCTTAGTTATACAACCCTCTATTTTAAATTCCTTAAATGAATCTTATAATACTCATAATGAATTTATTATATAAATAACATAAATTTAAGTGAAAAAAGTAATAATGAAAACAAAATAAAACTTAAATAATAAATTAATTAAAGTATCATATTATTTCAATTTTAAAAGAGGATAAAATACACTAAATAATTAAAATTAAAAAACAAATAAGCATATATTAAAAATGAATTTAAAAAAAATATAAGTATAAAAAAGAACTAAAGAAAAAACAATAAAAAGTCACAAATCACCCTAGAGAACTGAATACTTAAAAAATTGGACCTGCAGATTTTCAGGGAAATCTACTGACGAAGGTAAAATCCTTCATTGGGGTCCCTTGAGATCTATCTCATTTTTTTCCTATGATTTAATGAAATTGAGGGCATCACCTCCAAATATGCTTAGGGTATTGGCAACGATTGGTTTGAACATGGTATTGGAGAGTGCAGTATATTTGTTTATTTTTAGGATTTCAGCCTTTTCAATGGCGAAAATGAGATGTTGGACTTTGCCACAAAATCGACACAGGTATAGTCCCAAGCAAGCAGCCATTGGTTCATGGAATGAGGGACATTCCATAGGGACGTATGACATTTTATATAAAATTATTGTATAATATTGTTAAAAAAACCCTAACAAATAACACGTCTTGACGTTATGATAGTTTTATGGAAAAAGATAGAAAAATAAACAACGTTCAAAGCTATACATTATTTCCCGCCTTTTAAATGTAATGATTTTTAAAAATATCCTGTAAATCCAAAATATATGACCAAGGACATTATATCAGGTAAATAAAATATATAATATCATAATAATTCTAATAATAGATTTTGATGAGATAATAAATTATCTGTTACACAGGAAATATCCTGCTCATATGTCTGGCGATAATGGCCGAAAGCGCAACCTCCGTGTTAAAGCTAGTAGATATAAAATGATAAATGGTAAATTATTTCACCATCTTCATAATGGCGAAGTAATACTTGATATTAATAGAAGAAAGTATCTTCTAAAAGGAGTTCATGGTGGATTTGGTTCCAGTATTCAAGCAATATCTCTTGCTGGTCATTTTGGAATTAACAAGACTTACAGCAAATTGGCAGATAGGTAAAATATTCTGACAATATAAAACCTCTTATATCACTAACATTATTTTTAGCTTCTGGTGGCCAAATATGAGAGAGGATGTAGTAAAATACGTTAATTCTTGTGATATATGTCATGGAATCATTAGAAAATTTGATAAGCCTAGCAATAATTTGTCAATTGGTCGTTCATCAAAGGTAAAGTTTAAATATTAATTTATTAAACTAATATATTAATTTACAAACTATATAATACATTTCTTTAGTATTCTAATCAATTATCATGATTATTAAAATATTATGTGATAAAGTGCATCACACTCTAAACGTTAAATGTACAACAGAGCTATGCTAGGTATTTCTCATTTCTATCTATGTTAAAGCTCTTAACATGTTTGTAGGCATGCTAAATATTTTTATATGTATAATTATCCAAGGACTATTATTTAAATGCTTAGTTGAAAGGGAATTGGCCACAATTATCAGCCCACACCCATAAACTATAGCTATATTTAATTACTTTAAGTACAGGGGTACAACTAATTTTAATTTATCATTGCATATCAGTATTTAATGAGTTAATGTGTGATTAAATTGGTTAACTTGTTATCTTGTTGAAGGAATTTGTAGGGATGTCATATTTATAGTGATATTTGCAATGAAAAGGAATAAAGTGGTTAGTTTTATGTTAAATAGCTTTTATTGTTATTTTACATAATTTTTCTTTAAGTTTTTTTTAAAAAATTATTAAAATAATATTTATTCGATGTATTTAATTGTTAGGAAAGTCTTATTAGTATATTTCTTTCTGTAATCACTGCTATGACTATATATTGTAGTAGATTGAAACAGGCTGGCATGGGCAAGGTTAATTTTTTTACTAGATTGTCTACTTGTGCAAAAAATTTTTCTTGATGAGCCACTTATGCAATTTTTTTTAACAGACTAACATATAGTTGTCAAATTTTAAAACTTCGAATTAGGTAAAATTATGTCACTTTTTTTCATAAAAAATTAATACATAGGCAACTTATACAAAATTATTTTATGGGCTGGATGGACAAAAGGATTTTGGGTCTGAGTCAATAAATTTAAATCTAAAATTTCACAGGATTTTTTGTTCTTTATTCCACTATCACCTCTATTTTGTAGTGCCTTTATAAGTTACATCAATTTCACATGCTTAAAACACTTATTTGATGATTAAGTTTGTTAATTTTAAGCCAGATTTCTTTTATCTAATTTAATTATATATGAATGTTTATGTTTCTTCTAGCATATAATCTAAAATCCATACTACTATTTTAAATGTAAAATATTTGGAAAAATAAATTTGCCCAGAAGACTATTTCTGAGAGTGAGCTATCAAACAGGGCAATTGCAAACAAGAATCATGACCAGTCTTTATATCTTCATAAAAAGAATGAATCTAGGCCCAGGAGAGTTCGTGTTGCATCAACCATGACCGAAGAAGATGTTTCTGAAACTGTGATTCCTACCAATCACAACTTATCTGGCTTGCTATGTTTGGACACCCTTAAAATCCTTATCACGCCAATTGATGATTTATCTCATGGAATCTATAATGGCGAGCCCATAGATGAAACGAGAATTAATACATGCACCACCTTTGATATCTTAAACAATATTGTGAATGGTAATAATGCTGCTGAAGCTGATATCATCGAAGAAAATAGTGAAAAACCCAGTCAAGAAATTAAACCGATTAATATAGTTGATCCAATAGTACCCAGTACCCGAAGAAAATCCAAAGCTTCTTCAAGTTTTTTTTATTATAAAAAAACATCCTTTGTAACACATAGTATTTTGTATTAAACAGCTTTATTTAGTTAATTTTAAATTAAGATTTTAGGCAAAATAATATTGCAGCCTCAAGATTTTGATAATAGATTTCCAAAATTTTCTGTCATCCATGAACCAAATCTCTAGACTTGCATAATATTTTTGGCTAAAATATTGGGTTAACCCTTTTTAAAAATCATCAACATTATCCATAAGCCTTATTTTTTTTTCAATTTTGTTATGTTAATCTCCATGAATATATGTAGCTAGTTTTTGTTACTTAAATACTATTTTATTGAAAATATAGTTAGGGAAGGCAGGAGTTGAGCCGATTTTCGAAAAATCGACTATAATTTTGTTTTTTTTAGATATTATAAAGAAAAATATATGAATTGATACCTAAAATTTTATAAATATTTTAAAATAATATTTATTTTTGAAATTTTATTTTTTGTAAAAGTTGATATTTTGCCCAACAAGCCCCAATACTGGGATTAGGCAAACCATTTGAGATACATTTTTATGTATTAATAATGATACATTTAGAATTAATTTTATTGTTCAAAGTACCCTTTTAAATAGAAGCTAATTATATATAAAAATTGTGTATCAGGTCAATTCAGCTAAACTTTTAACGCAAAGGAATTTTATAGTGAAATCACGAAACATTTACAGTTAAGAGAATATCGTGAACTCCTTATCGTTAATTTATTTTTGTTAAACCTTAACCACATCCTCCTTACTTTGATTCTTATCGTTAGATGGCTCAAAAAAATTTAATATAATGCTTGATAATCTTATCTTTATTCTCCAATAGTAGCTATATAAATCAGTATATATTCTGAGAAATTTTAAAATATATTTTATTTTATACTAGTTTGAGTTTTCGGTTTTCCAATGTAGGACCATGAATGATTAAATTTTAACATAAATGATTATAAAACAGAAAATTCTATAGTGTAATGTTTAACTAAAACAATATTTAAAAAAAAATTAAAAAACGTAAATTAGTTTTCACAATTTAAAAAAAATAAAATACCAGTTCAATTTAATCAACAGCGTTTTTAGGAAAATTTTACTCATTTTTTTCTAATAAAATAGAATATAAATCTGGATTTTTTGAAAATGAAACTAATTAATAAATGTTCCAAATATAAAGAGGTTCCATATCGGGAAACCAAGGCAAAATGGGTTAACGGGGCAAAATTGGTTAATTATTTAATTTCTCTTACATATTTTGCGTATTTTTTTTATTGGATAGGGAGACAGGCCTATAAATATATTTTTAGCATAAGAGTTTTATATAGGCATCAATATCAAATGAAAGATAAAAAATTGAGCTCTAAATCCACGCTCTAGTCTTCAGATCTAGATCACGACGAGAGGGTGGGGGGGAGGTTGCGTTAAAAACATTTCCTAAATTTTGAAGAAGAGTATTTAAGATAATAAGAAATAATTATAAGAAAAGTGACTATGATTTTAATTCTGAGATTAAATAGGCGCCTTATGTAATTTTCTCATTTTGTAAATCGCAAAAATTTTAAGGCTGGCCCAGATGTAGCCTTTTAAATGAATCCTGTTTTAAATAAATTCTAATTTAGTGATATTTACATTTATGACTGACTTGAGAGTTCTTTTAAATCAGATTTTTCAATTATAATGAAGTGTTAAGATCATTTTTTTTATTTCTCTAATTTAAATAATTTTAAAAAAAATTTTTTACAAAGTAGATTCCATTTATTATATATATTTTTGTTATACATTTCAATAGTTGATTTTGATACAACAATTTTCCTTCTTTTCCCACAAATGACAGACGATAAATCACGTTTATAAATTTTGTTTAGTTTAATAGAACAATGAGGTACAGGAATATATTTTTTATCAGAAATATCTATTATCGATGTCACCCAAAAAAGGCTTAAAATGCAATCTGCGAAAACAGACCTCAAGATATAAAATTCGTAATGGTAAAATGCTTCACCATTCTCATAATGGTGAAGTCATTTTGGACCTTGCCGAAGAATTCAACTTCTAAAATAGTTCACAGCGGATGGGATACTAATATGTCAACAATATATCTTGCTGCCCATTTTGGTATCACTAAGATTCACAGCAAATAGGCTGATAATGTAATCAACTTTACTACCTCTGCTGGAATATGAATTGAATGCAACTCATTGCTGGTTTTATCAAATCTTGTGTTTCTATGCTAACAAATGTCACATCATTTTACAAAATTAACAACATCCATTTTCATGTTTGGCCACCAGAAGCTGAAAATATAATACATCTTATAATAAATAGATTTATTATGCAAAAATATTTTACCACAAGCCAATATGCTGTAAGTCCTTGTGTTACCAAATGGTCAGTTAAAGATTTTGTCATATTAGTATCACATCCACTCCACTATAACTTTTTTAAGGAGTTAAGCTCTTCTATTACAATCTAAAATTGTTTTCTATTATAAGAATGGTGTATAAAAATATTATATTTTTAGCTTCTGGTGGCCAAACATGAAAATGGATATAGTTAATTTTGTAAAATGTTGTGACATTTGCTAGCTTAGAAACACAAGATTTGATAAAACCAGCAATGAGTTACATTCAATTCTAATTGCAGCAAAGATAGTATAATTGATTACATTATCAGCCAATTTGCTGTGAGTCTTGGTGATTCTAAAATTGGCAGCAAAAGATATTGCCGACACATTAGTATCACATCCACTGTGAACTATTTTAAAAGTTTGAATTCTTCGGTCAAAGTCCAAAATGATTTCACCATTATGAGAATGGTGAAGCATTTTACCATTGCGAATTTTATGGCCTGTATTTGCATATTGTGTCTTAAGCCTTTTTTTTGGAAGACATCGGTTATGGATATTTCTGATAAAGCATATAATCCTGTACCTCATTGAATTCTGTTATTTATAAACTTGATTTATCGTCTTTAGTCATTTGATTTTAGAAAAGAAATATAATTTTTTTTATCAAAATTAACTATTGAAATGTACAACAAAAATATATATAATAAATGGAATCTACTTTTATAAAAAAAAATATATTTTAAAAATATTTATATTAATTTAGAAAAATAAAAAAAAATAATTTAAATGAAATCTCAAGTCAGTCATAAATTTCAATATCACTAAATTAGAATTTATTTAAAACAGGGTTCATTTAAAACGTTATACTTCGGCCATAGACCTGACTTTTTCTAAAAGTGAGATGGGATTTTTAACGATTAAAATGATGAAAAACGGGATTAAGCGCGACAACCACAATCGCATATTATAAATTAATATTGGTGGATTTTTATGTAAAATTACGAACTTATAAATTTTTTATGTGAATATTAATGCGTATTTATAAAGTGAAAATATATTTTAAAAAAAATTAGATGCAAATTATCATAATTATTAATTATAAAAGTTTTATTATATATGAAAATAAATTTCATTGTACCCTTCGCAATTCTAGTCAAAATTCTGCTGTACCGTTAATTAATTCGGCCTCTAATAAATCAAATGAGATCCGAAGATATTTTTTTCGCCTAGTCTAATTCATTTGATTACATATTTTTTTCATGCTTATAATTTATATTCAATTCTTTCAAAATATTCGAACTTGATTGTATCGTTCAATATCATAGCTCTAAGATATTTATAATATCCTTTTTTTCATGGTTTGATAATTCTGAAGTTATTTCTTTATATGCTTCAACTTTTTTTATCAGAACCAGTGGCGTTAGGCACTAATTTGCCATCAAAATATTGCATGTCTTATAAAGAATAAACAATAAGACAAAACCTTTTTCTTTAAAAATTGGCTTAGAGCATTGTAAATTATGCCATATAATTTTTTTTATTAATTTGATCTCTTACTTCTTTTCCATTCGATTAGTCAAATAGTTTTTTTTTGATTTTTATATAATATTAGGGATTATTTTAATATTTTTGTCCGATTATCCTTATAATATAATTAAATGATTTATTAGTATTTTTATATATTGGTCTAAATATATTTTATTGTTGAAATTAAAGTTTTTCTATATTGATAGTGTAAAATTGGGACATACAAATGAGAAAAAAAATCTATCAATATTTTTTTGAACAAAATTAGTTTATCATATTTTATATTGGATTTGGGATATAGGACTATTCCAAAACGAATCAGATGGTGACAGGGCGTCATACATTTTTTGGTGTGTTTGCTATATAAATAACTTAAATTAAAATTTTATAAGAACTTTTTAAAAATAATTCGGAGTTTCATTTATGTATGAATTTTTTTTTTATAAAGGAGACCAAAATGGCGTGTCATAATCAGCTGATTTGTATTCGGAGACGTTTCAAACTGCATTTTAGTAATTTGATCTAGGCACATCAAGGTCATTTTTTTTAATATTTATTTGAAAAATGAATTCAACTAGACGCGAAATCTACCTCTCCTCCATTGTGTAAATCAAACCGATATTTTGCAGTAGTTTCCAGTTATCAATTTTATTTGACTGGTGGAATTCCGCGTTTAATGTCAAATTATTTTTCGAAACAAAATATTGAAGAATTTTATTTTCTTCTCTAATGTAGAGCTCGACCTTTTAATTTTCTGCGCCTCAGTAGTACAGCTCTGTACCCACTGAATCATACCTGATATCATTTAAATTTCAGTTTATATCTGTGTTAACTTTCCGACAATGTGTTATTTTTTTGAGCGCATTTTTAAAAATTTGAAAATCTGATTTTACCTATCTAACCCTACGAATTTCAGACAATATTTCCGTAAAATTTTAAAGTTAATATAATTTGTATTCGATTTCCCACATATATTATTTTATATCAATTATTAAGTGACTCTAAGGTTAACAGCTAAATTGTCTACAATTCATAAGGTATTCAAAACATGATATAATATATTACGGGCAAAATCCTATTTTTAAATTTATTAAAATGAGCTCAAAAAAATGATTTAAAGTTTGAATAAATAACACATTGGGGGGGAAAAACACATTGACGGCTACATATATAATAAACATAGATATTTGAATATTTTATTTTAAAAAAAATACTTACAAATTAACTATCCCGATAGATATGATATTACCATAATCAAACATAAATAATCGCAGATTTAAACATTTTTTCATACAAATTATATAATTTCAATTATAATAATTTTTTCTTTTTCAGAAGCGATTACAGGAGAAAATTTATCGAATTCAGTGTGCACCAGTTTACAGAAAGATGAAGACGAAATCCTGGAAAGTTTGATATGGAATCATGTCGATGATGTTAGTTTAAAATATTCAATTTTGTTAATTTTACCATCTTAAATTTTCGCATGCTATTTAGAAAAAAACTCCTTTTGTTATTATTTAATTTTTTAAAATCGTTTTAAACTGGGTTGTGAACTCTTCTTCTAAAAAAGGGTTATTTTTTTGGGTTCAGCGTGGTCCAGAAAATTTTATAACTTAAAAAATTTAGTAGAATATTCCACTATATTTAACTCTTACCATAAAATTATTTATCATTATAAATTGAATATAAGCTAATTATCGTGATATCTTCCAAAATCGAGATGTTAAAATTAAAATATCTATTTTTTATGCCTAACTTTGACAGTACATTGAAGCATTTAATAAAGCTATTTTACCTTTGTTTATATATGTTTTTTTTGGTCTTACTTTTAATCTAATAATACAATACTTAAAATATATATTTCTCTATTATAAAAAAAAAAGTTTACAAAATATGTTGGTAAATCTTTAAAAAATTTTTAACATAAAATGGAGTGCTTTGAGTGCTTTTAAAAAATATAATTTAAAAAAAAGGTTTCCACGCAAAATAATTTTCACCAAAAAAAAGGTATTCCAAACATGATTGGAATTCATTTTTCGGTAAAATCAGATTTTTATAAATTTTTAAAAACGCGCTTAAAAAAATGATTTGTGCCGAAAGAAGAGCACATTGACACGCTAACATATAAAATTAAAAATTTAATATTTTTTTAAGAAAAAATAAATTATTATTTATACCCTCTGAACCCTAAATGTTTTATGAAGGGTTCGAGTTTGGGTTTAGTAAAATATTGAGGGCTCGGGCTCACGTTTCTGGGTTTAACCGCTGCATTAAAGAAGAGGACCAAGCCTCAATGGATTAGTAAAAAAAATAAATAAGAATTATTTTAATTTCTTCTTTTGATCAACTTTTACCTTTTGGGCTCAAAAAATAACCTATTTTACAAATGGGAGCTTGGGTCCTAGCCTAGAATATACTGCACACCCCGGATCGAAAGAAATAAAGAAATGAAATCCCTACAAATTTTTTTTAAAAAAAAGACCAAATTTTACCAACTTATCTCCCTGAACTTAGAAAATGATTTTTTTTTCTCTTCTTAACCTAATTTTAATGTTTTCATTTTTTAAAAAAAATTTTTATTTTAAAAGGCTTTGGATAAAATTATCAACCAGACAAAAATTCTTAAAAATCTTCTCTCAACAATACGAAAAAATAAATCTTGTACGAGAAATAGCAATAAAAAGCTCAAAACGTTAGACCTGTGCAAAGTAATCATAGTTTATTTTTTTTAAATTAAAGATAATTTAAAATGTTATATTTTATTTATAGAAATTAAACGAAATTTCCGAAAGTCTTAAATAACAACGAAAAGATTAATCGAGCGCCTTACCCTTAACTTTCGATATTATGATTATATTCCTAATCAATATTATCTCAAAGATATACCGCTTGTTTTTAGAGATCGCATTTCCTATTTATAAATTATAGATTCAAAATGTCATTTATAATACCCATTTCTGTTTTGTAACTGTTTACTAGAAGATCTTTATTTATTATGAATATTTCTTCCTTTTTTTTTAATGAATGTTATTATTTTTCATTTTTGGTTCTTTTATTACATTTATGAAGCATTTATAAAATTGAATTGAATTATACAGTTTAAGATAATATTATTTTTTTTGAAAAAAAACATTAATAAAAGTTGATATAAGCTTGTAAATTTGTGCCTAATAAAAAATAAAATAATAAAAAACAAGCATCGTCCAATATATCATCTGGTATATGAACTTTAACTTTTTTTCCACTAATAATGCTATAATAAAAAGGTGGTTTTAAATTTTATAACTTTTATAAGATCATATTTAAATTAACGACAAATACAGGGTTGCCGGGTCTCTCCCCATTAGGTGGGAAATTCCCGCAATTATTTAATCAACACACAGAGATCTCCATTACGCAAAACTCCCACAATTATAAAATTTCTCCCTCACCAAAACATGCTCTCCGCTATTCTCATCTTCTTAATCAAGTCAATGCCATGTTTTTGAAAAGTATTACATAAAATAGTTGTATAATTAAATAATACATTCTAATGAGAAAAAAAAATTGAAATAAGTATTGAATCCAATAATTTTCTTGTTCAGAGGAAATATTTCTTTCAGGCCATTGTGATATTTAATTTAATAATTGGTTCTTCTAACTCCATAAAAGCTGTTACTGCTTGATGGCGGAGACTCCATCTCGTTGGGCAAGCTTGCACTTTCATCTCCCTGTTGGACAAGGACTTTCAGAAAAATTATTATTTGACTAATATGAAAATGGCAGATAAATATTATGCCACTAAAAATTTGAAAATAATAGGTAAATATTACACCATAATATAAACATTATTTTTGAAAAATATATCCGGCATCTGCATATTTTGGCTTTGGGGGGAGGGGGAGGATTTATCTCCCAGCCCCTCCCCCCGCTGCATATGCCAATGCTTGATCTGCGATTAACAATTGTTTTCACGAATTCTTGTTCAAAGATCATCAATTTTGTATCCTATACTAAAGTTTTGATTATATATTGGCGATAATTTGTCAACGATTGTTTCCTGGTCTTGACCACTCTACCTAGTCGCTTGTCAAGATATCGACTTTGTCTTAAGATCTCTTATACGATACTGATTACTTGTATCTTTTGATCCAAAATAAAAATCCGATCTCTAAACAAGCTAGAGTGCGGCATGAATTTTTTATTGACGAAAGCCGTTTTTCTTCTTGAAGAATTTGGTTAATCAACAACCTAATATTTTGCTAAATATTATGAACTTAATTCACCCATAAACGTATATCTTTAATAAAAATGACGAATTCCTTTTAACTAAACAACGAATTCTATTCTTTTTCGAATTACGACCATTGATATTGATACCATTGTTTCATTGCTCTCATTCTTTGTCTTAGTGTTGATAGTTTTTTCATACATCCCCTTCCTTCCTTAATTTATTCTTTCCAGAGTTAATTAGACTGAATATGCCCATAGAACTTAATGTTTAGGCACCATTATTTGTGTGCGAAAATCAATTGTTGTATACGATAACATATTTTAAGTTTTATTCACAACCTTAAATACTACTAATTATCAAATAAAAGTAAAAATTATAAGAGAAAAATTAAAATAATAAGAAAAATTAAAGGTAAAGAGTAAAAATTATGTTCGAAAAATCATAATATCGTAACAAGTAAAAATATCCTCAATTATATATCCTTTTTTTCTAATATTCATTTACATCGTCTGAACTTAAATAATATAATAATTTGTTTCGTTTTTCTGTTTAGAAGTAGTTTTGAATATTACTTTGTTTTTCTTGATTTTGTTTAAAGATTTGAATAATAAATACAACAAATAAATTTATCAACAGCTGATTGTGCTATTTTTATCTTTGATGTAGTGCATTCTGCATCCCAATAAATGTGAATTGATTGACTTCATTTTTATTTTATTACTTCAAATCAGTGGCGTAGCTAGGAATTTTCCTTAATGATTTTAAAATAATCCAGAATAATTTTAATAGTCATATAATATCCTCCCATAAACATCAAAACCAGAAAAATATAAAATGATATTTATTTGATATAAAGTCACTTTTAAATCTTTTGAACGTATAATCTAAAAAAAATTTTGCTCTAGGAGGGGTCCAAACCCGAAAACCACCCCCATACTGCTTCAAATGTTCAATAATCTCTTTTTGAGGAATGTACAGTCTATAATTTTTTAATTAATTTTTTATTAAAAATAACGTAGCTTTTTCAATAATTGAAGATAAATCTTTTAAAAATTTAATAACCGTTTGTGTGGAGAAAAATAATTTCTAAGCGGCATAACATAATATACTATTAAATTTTAAATTTTTGATGTTTTAAATATTTATAAGACCATTAAATTTTTGTATAAGGAGTAATAGTGCGCACACAAATTTAGATTTTCAAACGTTGCGATGCAAACGTAAATAATGCATTTCAAATGCATTCGTTTAAATTGTACACATTTACGTTTTACAATCGCGTCTAAAAAAACGTTACTTGGTGTTCTAATTTTGAAACTTTATATTAATAGAGATTTTGATACGATTGAAAAATGGATATACTTCAAAAAATGTATTGAATCTTTTAAATATGATATATTTTAAAATAGTTTATAGGTCATGGAATGAGGTTATTACGAAAAATTTTTAAATTATTTAGAAGATCATATGAATATTTTGCTTATGTATGCATTCTACAACTCATCATATATATAAAATTGAACCATTATCAATTATCCTTGTAAAATACTTATTGATATAAATAATTTATAATAATTAAATTATTTAGATATATTTAGACATGTGCGCCGCCGGTCAACGCCGCCGCCGATGATTTTGACTAAGCCGACGCCTAGCGGCTAAAAATTGTCGGCGCTCAACACGCCGCCGCCGATGTAAAAATTCGGTGGCGTGACGGCGTGATATATATTTTTTACTATTAATTTATTTTATATATTATTTATGAATTGTAATTATAAGAAAAATATAATATTTTTTGAATTATTTAAAAATGCGATTTTATTTTTTAAAATTAATACACTTTGGGCAGGTTTGTGACCAACGTGCTAGATAAAATAGGACATTAAATTTGAAAAGGTAATTCTATATTTTATTCTTTTATTTTGATGCTTCAAATAATTTACAATTCGTTATAAAAAATTTATTTTTTATCATAATAGGAAATTTTAATTAATGATTTTTATTTTGTTACCATTATAACATATATAAAAATACCAGGACTAAAACAATTATAATGGATGCAGCATTGCAATACCCTGTAACAAAATATAGTATTCCTTGCAAGCAAAGCCTTCTTTTGCATGGAAACATTTTAAAACTGACACAAATAATAAGTGAACCAGTGTTGCTACAGATAAAGTCTTTTGTAATATATGCTTGCAAATAGCACTTGATAAGGATTGTGAGGATAAAAATAATTCTTCATTTTCAGAGTAAATTTTTTGATTATTTTAAAAATATTTGTAAATTTTTTAATTTTTTTTTTCTTTCATATCTTTATTAAGTCTATTATCCTATTTAATTTACATAAAACCTAATTAAAAATATTATAATTATATAATTAAAAATAAAATTCTATAATTGAGTCCCCAAAAAGGAATCATAATTGTGTCTAAAAATTTCTATTTGAATTTTTTGTCGAATAAAAAGAAATTCTCTTGGTTCATTTGTGAAAAGTCATATTTTATTAGCAAGATTTTTTAAAAACAAAAATGTTGAAGGCGAATGCCCGTTAATAGAAGTCACTACTGGAGTGAATAAAAAGTTTTTAAAATTTTTGTATTTGTTTATCTTTTTAATTTCAGCCTGTGTTATTAAATTGAAATTTATGTTTGAAGGGAATGATGAGACACACGTGTAGTCGCATATGAGTGATTTGCCGAGGGCCCAATGTATGGTTGTCGTACCATCTACTTGAGATAAATTTGATGTTCGAGATTGTTTGGAATGTGTGCAGCTGTTAAGCTTCTATTTATTATATTGTTTACAGCTGATTGGCGTTGATGTCGCCCTTGACTAAAAATGCAATTTAAGCCATGTCTACCCTTTGAATCAACGGGTGATTTGCATTTGATGCAGGCATGAGGCTGTACTATATCGCACCTAGAGGTAAACCAATGGTTACTCTCAGTTGTTCATCTGATAAGAGATTACCAAGACTAGGGAGTGATTATAACCATTCATGACCACCAAGTCTGTCAGATAATTGGAGGAGTTGAATGCAATCTAAAGGTGGGTTGACTGATATCTCTGTCTGGTATTTAGAGATTAAAGGTGTGAAAATTTTTTTGTGTGTGATGATTGATGGTAATACGGTGTTAATGGGTGTGTTTGCCTTCCATTTGTCAATAGCGTCGTTTAATAAACGATCGGTAGGGCATATGAAGCCAGAAATCATAGAATTGTTAGATAATCTAGATGATACGAATTATGATAAGGAAAAAAGATTGAGCGGAAAAAAATCTAAACCACCTAGTTTATAAGGTAGTTGAGCAAGTGATCAATTGAATGAGTTTAAATTTATGTTTAAAATTTTTTCCAGAAATATTTTAAATTTATCCTGAATTTTAGATATGAATTCATTGTTTTTGAAAAAAGATGATGATCGGAAAATGTGCATAAATTTAGTTATGTACAGGCATTTGCGAATTAAAAATAAAGATTGATGAGCTGGTAGGAGACTTAGAATGTGCTCCATACTGTAAAAGCTTTTAAAAATCTTATGCAGGAAATCTTCTGACTTGGTCGCCTTAGCTAATGGGGACCCAAGTAAGGTTAAGCTGTCAGGAGCAATGATTTTGAAGCCTTCCAACTTTTGTGGCTTATTGTTTAAGAAACATAATTCTGTTTTATTTATGTTGAGTACCAGGCCGATAGCTTGGGAATTGATTTCCAGGTGTTTTATGGCGCTTAGTACATTAGCTGAAGGGCCACATATAGTCCCATTGTCTAAATACCATAGATTAAGATCTAGGTTGAAATTTTGTTTAATTTGGTAGATGAGATAATGGATTCCAAAACAAAAAAGAAGAGGTCCTAATGGATCCCCTTGTTGGATTCTCTCTTGGGATAAAATCTGATAAAATCCATAAGTCAAAGGCGTCTGAAAACAATATGATTCAATAAATTTAGAATAACAGGGAAAAGTTTCTTAGAAGAATTTTAAAAATGAGGTACGATGTAGGCTATTGAAGGCATTTTTGAAATCTAGTTTACATATTACAGAATCAGGTGGTGGGTTTTCTAAGTAAATTCCTAAGGTATGAGCCGCTATTTCACAGCCACCCTGGATCCCAAAATCTAAGAATTTAATATGTTGACAGCATCATGTTTGATGTGTTCGATTATGATTTTGGCTATTAATCTTCTGAAAAAGGAGCCTACTGCAATGGGACGGGTACCACCATCTGGCTTAGATAAATCAATTAGACGTGCACCAAAAAGGATTTGGTGAGTTTGTATTGGAATATCATTATTTATTATGTTATTACAAAAAGTTGTTAAAACTTTGATGACAGAACTATGGGAAGGATTTTTTGAATTAATTAAGTATTGAAAATAGGAGAGTCTGAAACCATTAAGACCACCTGCTGAGTTTTTATTGAAAGAATTGATAGCTTGGACTATTTCATCACTGATAAAAATTACAGTCTGGTGGATTGGAGAGATGGGTAATCTGTAGAAGCATCAGGATGTAGTTGTTTCAATAGTAATGTTTCTTCATTGATAGGAGAAAGATGGTTATCTGAGGATATGAGTTTAATTGCACCACCTTTGTCACCTTGATCTATTTTATTTGATATTATTTTGCATTTGTGCGTTATATCATCTACTTGTTTTTAACATTATGATTGTAGTTAATCATTTGAATAGTGTCAAAATTATCATTGTTTGATTTTATTTGTTCATGTAATGGGGTCTCTTCGGGACGTGTAAGACATTTGTGAGAGAAGGTTAATAAGTCTTCCCATGATTTTAAACAATTTAAGTTATCATTAACTTTTGTGATAAGCTTAATAACAAAATTTGAAATTAGGTTTCTAGATTTATTTGGTAGATGTGTTAAAGTGGGTCCTTTTTCCATTCAAAAAATCCTACGAGAAAATCTGTGTTAATAGGGGGAGGATGAGGCTCAATAATATTTAATAAGGGTTTGGGTATTGTTATAATTTCATTGGTTGAAGATTTTTGAGAGGAATGACATGTTGACCCTTTGTAACTATGTTTGTATAAAATATTGTCCTTTGTCACTTTAATTAGTTTACCACAGATGTTACAAATTGTTGACTGTTTTATATTATTTTTTTAACATAGGAATATTTGTGTTATAAAAATTAAAATTTCTTAGCAAAACTATGTATATAGGATAATGAATATTTAAATAGATGTTACAAAATTGCCTGTTACAAGTTTGAGGGTATGTGTAATGTGCAAGAAAACTATGAGAGGTAATGTTTGTAATTTTGATCCTGCATATGTAGGCAATCATGGGCCAGAGATACAGTAATAATTTTCACGTTTGTCGGCAAGTAATTGGATTAATTTTATGAATAATAAAAATAATTAAAATTAAATTAAAAAATTAATATTTTCGTTTCATGGATAGATTAGTTATCCAATCAAATTTTTTTCAAAAAATATCAGCACATCAAATATAATAAAACATTTACTTGACAAACATGATTTATCATATAAAGATAAAATATCTAAAAATATAAAGTTAGAAAATGCTGTCGGCGCACATGTCTAGATATATTCAATAATAAAGGAATATATATTAATAGTTGTATTTCCTATCTAATAAATAGTTTAAATTCGTTAATATAATTATATTAAAAATAATCATAATTACATTTAAAATTTCAATAATATTAAATCCGCATGTTGGCGTTTATTATTTTTAAAAAAACTATTATATAAATATATAATAATTTAGAAAAATTATTTATTATTTACTCGCTAAAACATTAAAAGTTCATTTTAATAAACTGAATTTACCATAATACTCATGGTGGGAAGGGCTATGTGGTAAGGCTCGTTTTGAACTGATTTTTAAAAACGGCTAACTTAATATTTCATCCAGTAAAATATTACGCCAGCCTGAAAATTTTGCTCATAGAAGGAACAAAGGTCTATACAAATATTATCGAAATCTCGAGGCTTAGGCACTATTTTTTTGCTAAAATAGAGTTACTAATTCCCCTGTAAAGTATAATGTTAATATTACGAGAAATAATATTATTTCAAGTGACTAGAATAAAAAAAATTTAAATATTGCACTGTTGATGGTCCTTTTATCTTTTGGTGGGTGATAACTTAATTGGTTATTTTTATTGTGATCCTGTGGTTGTCAGCCTCCTTCTATATCGTTGGTACATTAGAGCATTATTGGTTATTCATTCCCTCAATATTGATTAAATCATAGAGAGTATCATTATTATATCTTAAATCAGCATAATGAAACTTAAATTTCAGAAATAAAATAATAAGTTACTGATCTCAATATTAATTTCACTTTTTATTCCTATGACTGGTGCCTTTCTCCCCTTCCTTGGGTCTAAAAATAATATCAAATAGCTGATTTCGTTCATTTATATAACTACCCAAATCTTAAAAATAAACTATATTTTATTAATAGCTTCCTTTCTTCCATTATTCGGGGCCGTTACTATTGACAAACTTCAGGGGGTTCATTTCAAAAATTGCCTTTTATTTTAGATAATATTATCCAAAATTATTCAACTTTTCTTTAAAATCATGAAACAAATTTTCATTTTCATATTTTCTAAAACTCAAATCTTTCATAAATTTCACCCATTTTTATAATAATGAAACTTTTATATTTTCCAAAATGATCTCTATATTATTTTAAACATTTTTAATTTATATTTTCACTACTTTTTTGTAAAAAAAAATAAATATATATATATTGATTTCATTACTCACCTTTTTATTCTTTTTATTTTTACTATTTAAATTACTCTTTCTTTTCCATTCTTCCCTTACCTTTTTTCCTACTATCTATTCTATTCTCTTTCTACTCTACTATTTTTCCTTTTATAACATTCTTTCAACTTTTCATCTTGGCTGCATGATTGTATATTGGTATAATCATTGCTATTGTCTTGCATTTATCTTCTTACCCCTACAAGTGCATCACTAACAATTGATGGTGAAAAAATATATTCAACATTCTTTATTTTCTATAATATATTTTTTTTTTCCATTCGATAATAGCAAAATTATTATATAACTGTAAGCGAATTCTATAACAAAAAACAAGTAATTTCCTACAAAAATAAAAACTAATTATTTCCGAAAATATTTATATCGTTTGTGAATTATAAATTGACAGATTCAACACTTATTACACCTTCATTTGTAAAAAGCTTGATTCTTCCCTATTACTCTTAGACTGATATTTATTACTACAATCCAAAAATATTTTAATTACTATTACCGATACTTATTTGTTTACCCCCCCCCCCTCCCACATTCTCGATAAGACCAGAGTTTACCAATTAATAATGTGTATATACTATTATTGCAATCAAAGGATCCAAGTGATAAATTGCTGAGTTTGAGATGGTTAGGAATGTCTGCAAATTAAATAGGTAGTAATATTATAAGCTATCAAATAAAAACAGGCCAGAATATTGGTACTTTGATAAGAATATATATTACTAAATTTATTATCTATTAAGTTATAAAAAAAATGATATATAAAACATTATTGGCATTTTGATTATTTAAAGTTGTTAAGAATATAAGCAAAGAAACATTAAAATTGGATAGTAAATAAAAATGTTTGTTATAGTTACTAAAAGAAACCTAGCTTGTTTAAATGAATATAACTTATAGAATTCGAATTTTAATCGTTATTACAATTATTAATCTAATAAACTTAATAAAAAATCAGGATTACCCTTGTATTGGTTATTAGTTATTTTACTTATTAATAAATAAATTTGTGAGATATATTTTATTTAGTATATTCTTTTTTAAAGTAACTATGTCCAATCTAAAAAATCATAATATCGATCCTTAAAAATTTAAGTTACTTTTATAACTTATATACTTTGAGACATTACTGCTGAATTCGATCAATTAGTATTTTGTCAAAATTTTAATATTTTTATTATCGATTTTAATAATTGTTTTAAATTTGTTCATTTTATTATAACAAATGATATAATGTAAATGATGAAGAATAAAACACATTATCACCCAAAGTTATAGAACCAGTAAAAAAAATAAATAAACCACTTATCCCTTATAAAAAAAATATATATATAACAGATTTTTTAAAATAATAAAAGATTACATTCCTTTCCTCTATCCCCAAATCAAGTTTCCACACCATGATGGAAAATTGATTCAGATGGAGGAAGTTAAAGTTATTTGTTTTTTTTTGAGAAATCTGGCAACTATAAGTTTAACCCAAAAATATTTTATATTTCTTATTGTTTTATATAAAAAAAATTATTCAAAAATAAAAATTAAAAATGTACATAATTTTAATATCATCAGGGTGTGTTCGTGAGCATTACGACTTTGTTAATCTTTTTAAACTATATAAAATAATTTATTGTAAAGAAAATATAAATATATAGGAATAAAAAATAGAAATAGATTAGTTAACTATATTCACTACCTTTTAGATAATGATGTGCCTTAGTAACTGAGCGATAAATAGAAATTTATGCTTGGGATAGGTTAAGGGGGGGGGGGTTAAGAGCCATATTTTGAGAAAAATTAAGCATGATTCATGTAATATACTTATTACAATTCACTTTTAATTGTTTGGATATAATGCATAAAAAAACAATCCTACAAAACTTCGTTATATGGAAAACCAGGCCGGCCACAAATATACTTTCCTCTAATGTGGTTTTACTGTTTAACAATAAATTACAAAAAAAATAATTAAAATTGCATTTCTTAATAAATATATACCATTTTGATTTGTTTAATTATATTTTAAATATCGAAAAGAGAGACTAAATCTAAATATTTTTAAAAAAAGAGAAGGAAATGCAAGCCAATGGAATGAACAAAGGTTATGGGGTCTATCCTATTATTTGATCCAATTTATTTGATTTCGGTAATAAATAGTACTTAACTTTATGATTAAAAACAATAACTGTGTATACATACCGTTATCAAGGCTTTAGATTTACTATTTGTTTTTATTTTATAAGTTTCATAATTGTGCCATCTTGTGTAATATTTAATTTCAACTATCGGTGTAGTGTCCAAATCGTATAGCCCACTAAGACTACCACTACTAGAGACATCTCTTTTCAGAAGTGTTTGATGTATTTTATTGTGTAATTTAACCGAATCCAAGAAAGTTCCATTTAGACTCTGTAGCTCTACATCTAAAATTTTTGAAATCAGAATATGTACAAAGCCTTTTATTTTATATTGAAATTTTTTAATATTATTTTATTAAATTTAAATAAAGATTATATTTTTATTTGTAAATGTATATTAACTGCAATATGCGCCTGATGGGATTTTTAAATATGCAGCTTTGCAGTCGGGCTGGATCCTATATTTTACAGTATATGTTCCTAGACCTAGAAATATATATTAATTTATTAAATAAAATAAATCTAGTAAATATTATTGCAATTCAATTTTTTTTTTTCATTTATTTTAAGGAGATTCAGGAGAGAATAAAAATTTGTTGACATCTTTCAATGACGTATGCACGTGGAGAGATTCAAAACCCCTCTTCCATAACCCCCGTTTTGAAAAAAAAATAAAATTACATCTAATATTTTAGTAAAATATTACAAAAAAATTGATTATGTATAAGAGAGGTCATTTAATAGAGCAGAGAATGTTGTTAAGATTATAAAAAGTATCAATGATACGGCTAATGAAAAAAAAATGAAATATATGAGAGAGTAAAGGAGAATGCGAATTTGCTTTGGGATTTAAGATTTTTTAATCCAAATCCCGACAATAGAATGACTCAAATTTTGATCGATTTATTGACGATTATTACAAAATAAAATATTTTAATTTCAATTAAGGGAAAGATTTATTAGCCATAATTCTATTTTTATTGCCAGGCGAGTCTGAATTGTTTATAACACTGGAAATGTGTGTGGTCAATATATTTTGTTTGATTTTTTTTAATAAATCTAATCTGTCCATATCAATAATAAATTATTACCAATATAATATTATAGATTTTGTTATTTTGATTTTTTAATATAACGTTTAATAAAACCAACCTAACGAATTATAAATATCTCTTATTTTGTTAATTTTTAGTAATTAAAATGTTTCATTATCCATTTAAGACTTATGTCTTTAAAATAAAATACCACTCCTTATTTTTTGTTTGGATTACGGAATATTCTTATTTTATTGAAGAAAATAATAAGTTGTCTGAGAATTCTATTTTAGGGTAATGATATCTTAGAGATCATTCTAAGTATTATCTACAGATTAAAAGATATTTCTACGTCTTTCTTTCTAGAACATAATATTGACCAGACAATTTACTAAAAATTATACGCCGAATCCGAAAACCCTAAAACATTATAATTTATTCTTGTTATAAAATTTGCTAAAATCTGACAAATTTGTTTTTAAATTAAACTGAAAAAATTATTCTTTGGAAAGACCGGTAATTTAGAATAAAGGTATACTGGAGAAATAAATAACAGCCGATAAAAATTAAGAAAGAAAAATCAATAAAAATAAATATAAAATATTAGATAAAGTTAAAGGTGTGTAACATAAAAATCGAACTTATTTCCCAAATATTTAGATATTTCGAAAAATTTGATATTAAAATATTTATCGTGTGTCTACTAAATTATATAAATTCCCTAATAATTTCCATATTTTATAGTAATAATTTATGTCTTCAAATAGCTACCAAAGGTTTAATTTTTTTTTTGAACTCCTCAAATGCGAACTTGTATATATCTTAACTTAAAATGGGAAAAATAATAAGTAGAAAAAACAATAAAAAAAAAAATCTAAAAATTTCCATAAAACAAAAATTAGTTAGCAGTTTAACAAAGTTAGCATATTAATTCAAACATAATATATAATTTAGCTTACTATCGGCTACACTTGCTAATTCTACTGTTATTGGATTATGATTAAATGTAGTTATTTCTACCCTACAAACACAATGAGAATCTAGAAATTGATGAAATAATAAAAAAATATATTAAAAATTTTTTTTTTTGTATTAACATTTATTTGTTAATTTCGAGTAAAATACTAGGTATGATATTATATATAAACATCTTTCTTGTAGGATTTCTCGGGTTAAATCCATGTATTACACTTATAAATTTCTCAGTTTTTAAAACTTTTAGAAATGGATCTAATGATTAATGGGATATTAAATATATAAAAAATGTGGATTTATTTTATTTTTCTTATAGTATATGTTTTGTTTTGTTTTCTTCTTTTCTTTTCTTTTCTTTTCTTTTCTTTTCTTTTCTTTTCTTTTCTTTTCTTTTCTTTTCTTTTCTTTTCTTTTCTTTTCTTTTCTTTTCTTTTCTTTTCTTTCTTTCTTTCTTTTCTTTCTTTCTTTCTTTCTTTCTTTCTTTCTTTCTTTCTTTCTTTCTTTCTTTCTTTCTTTCTTTCTTTCTTTCTTTCTTTCTTTCTTTCTTTCTTTCTTTCTTTCTTTCTTTCTTTCTTTCTTTCTTTCTTTCTTTCTTTCTTTCTTTCTTTCTTTCTTTCTTTCTTTCTTTCTTTCTTTCTTTCTTTCTTTCTTTCTAAACAATGAAATAATTAATAAAATATAACTTTACACTTACGTTTTATTACAGATCCTATGAATAGTAAAACGGATAATAATTTTATCATGATTGAAAAAGGAGTTGTGTAATTTAAATTTAAAAAATTTATAAATTAAATATGATTTATTGAAGCTTTTTTTTATACAATTTACTTTGTTATTATGAAAAAATATATTTTTTTATCATAATTTTATTTGAATTTTTTACCTATGTAAGATGTTTATTTCTTAAAATTATCTCAAAATTTTTTTTTTGATATTTTAGGAAACACTTATTTACCTTTGTTTCTTTTTTTTCTTCTCTATATGTAAAGGCGAGAAATTTTTTTTTTATTATATTTTAAAATAAAATGGCATCCCAAATTCATTAAAATTTCCACTAAAGATTTATCAATAAGATAAAATTTAGCCAAAAATTTTTTCTTTAATATGAATTCGGACTAAAGGATTTCTAAATTTAAAAAAAATTGGAAAAATTTTAGGCCAGATTGGAACCCCACGCCAAGCCCCTTTTCTTTGCCATGAGTATAATGACGCAAAAATAATTATCAACGTCTAATGCCGGGTCTTGTTAATTAAATATTGCTATAAATTTTAAATTTTATAATCCATATTTTTTTTTTCACTTTTAAAAATATTCATCGAATGACGAATCGGTTAATAATTTTAATTTTGTGTGCATGCGAAATAGGTTAGAAAGCTCGGATTTCTTATATAAAATGCTCTTGTTTTTTATTTTAAATATAGAAAAGAAAACCGATATTGGCAAAAGTATAATTATATCTAATTTTATATTTATATTATTATTTGAATAATCTCTAATTTTTTTAAAATATACCCGGGCTAGGTCGTATATATTTTAAATCGCCATTATTATCAAAATATTTTTATAAAATTTAGGCCGGTGCGAAAAAAAATTAAAATATAAAATCCGGGAACCGCCGGAAAATATTATTTTCTTTGAAATAATCTAAGAATATTATTCACGTTTATGATATATATTTTATACGTATTTTCAGAATTTTTGTTTTTAAAAACAAGTTTATTTACTTCTTACGAGATGTTATATTTTTTTTTCTGTAAATTAAAAAAAGGAAGAAGAAAAACTATAATATAGAAAATAGCTGATTCGTGAAAATTAATAAAAAAATATTAAATTACTCATTCAAATTTTATGACTAATTTATTTATTGTTTTAAAATTATTATTAATATAAATCATATTAGACATGAGATTGAATACAATCAGAACAATTATGTTTATATGATTTTAAGGCATATGGATTAGATGCCGATTAGATTTTAAAAAAATTTATTAGTCCTTTTTCATATAAAATATTAGAAAACTTGAAAATTAGAGAGCAACAATATTTGCAAAATAGTGTTGTATACGCTTCTATATATTTAGACCCTCGATATCAAGTTTTATTGAGTATTGAGCAAAAACAAATGGCTAAAGACCATCTTAAGGATATATGGCATAAGTAAAACTCTATAATTTACAATATATTGGAGAATACGACAATACCTATTGGTTGTAGTGATAATAATAATAATGATAGCAACATTGAGGATCTTGAAATTTTACTTTTAGATAGAGAAAAAAAAATCAAATTATCATCAGATAGAAAGGAGGATCTAAAAATGCCTATAGCATCTTTAACAGTAAAGATCTCGGATGTTAAGAGAATAAATAAGGATATAAATATTTTAAAATTCTGGGAAAAAAATTCTTCAATTTATTCAGAATTATATATCTTATCTACTTCATGGCTGTACCGGCGACTCAAGTACAATAATTATATAAAGATAACTACCTATTTTAGGTAAGGGTAGAACGTGAATTTTCATCTTTGAAATATATATTGTCTACTTTACGTGTAAATCTCAAGGATGATATTTTAGAAGATATTATGATTGTGCGAGAATAAATCATTTAAAATACAAATCATTTCATTTTAAAATTTTTCATTTGTGAATTATGAATATGTATATATTGAAGTATAATAATAAATGAATTTTAAAAAAAATATTATTTTGACTCTTATTTTTATGTTCCCTTAACCCGGACCCAAACCCTGGACCAGGGTCCTTTTAAATTTTACTCCTGTGACCGAACCCGGACCTGGAGCCTATTTTTTTGTCGAAGGGTTCATTTCCGTGAAATAAAGTTTAATTAACCCAACATAATTTTTTTTTCGTGAGTAATTCGAAGAAAAAATTTTCGAGTAATTTTTTTAAATTGGAGGCTTTTCTCACCATTTAAAAAATTTTTAGTTATTTTATCAATTTTTTTCCACGTTTATAAGATATATATAATATTTTATGAAAAATTTAGGGATATCCCTATTTTTTAAAAAAAAGTTTATTTGTTAACCTTTTATTTTTAAAAAAAAATAAAAATAATTTTGATGTAAATTCAAAACATTTTATAATGATAAATGATAATTTAAATAAAAAGGAACTGCCGAATTTATTAAAAAAAATCATTAAAACATTAAATTACTCATTTAAATTTAAATGACTAATATTTTTTATTTTTGAAATTATAGCTCAAAGGGGTAGCACACATTGTATATTATTTAGGCAATTCAAAAATAAGAGAGCTGCAGGCCCGGCCCGGGTTACAAGGACCTACCGGACATTTTAAATAGCCATTATTAGAGTTATAAAAATTTAAAAATAAATATCATAATATTTTTAAAAAATCCGGGCCGGGCTGAAAATTTTTTGCAAACCTAAATCCAGACAGGGGCGGATGTAAAAATACAAAACCCGGGCCGGGCCCGAAACAGGATTCGGGACGAGCAGTGTAAATGGTACCTCTGCAGGTCTTTGTCAAAAAGAATGCTGTAATCGTTATTACAAAAAAGAAACGCGTTACATTTACTCGCTACGTCTGAAAAAAGGAACGCGTTACCTCTACTCGTTATCTTTTTAAAAAAGGAACGCGCGTTACTGACTATTCAAAAAAAGTAACGGGTTATTCGTTACTTAAATAGTTAAATATTATATACAAAAAATATATTTATTTTTTTCCCACAATATATAATACAAATAAAACTATACAAAAAGAATATATAATAAGATAATTTTATAAAAAAAAATTCATAAATATAATTATAATATAAAATTATACAAAAATAATATATTATATATAAGATTTGTAACAATTTTTTATTTATTTTTAGCAACAATTGATTTTCAAAATTTTGATCAGACAACTCAGAGCTCTTAAAATACAGCTTTCGCCATGCATACACGTTCAATTGGCTCAGAGAATGAGAGAGTTGTATTATATTTAATAAATAAAAATTTTAATTCGGGGAATTTATTAAAAATATTTAAAGAATTATATAAATTTCGAAAAAAGCTTAATAGATCATCTTCACAAGGATCTTCATTCATTTTCTCATTCAAAATATTTATCTTTATCTGAAAATATATTTTCATCTTTATAGATGTGTTTGAATCTATTGAAAATAAAATGTAATCAAAATATAAATTGTAATACCTTTTATCTAAGCATTCCAAAATTGAATTAATTAGCGGCTTACAAAACTTGAAATTATTTAAAGCCAATTTTTTAAGTTTTAATATAATAATAGTTATTGTGGGAGTGAGATATCCCAAATACATTTTTTCTTCTCTCTCTTAAATTGCAAGAGCCGTAGCAATCGGTTCTATAACCTATAAAATCATACATATATATACATATCATATTTCTTAATCAACACTAGCCATACAATATTCATCCATGAAAGACTTTTCATTGTCTGAAAATCTCTGTAATTCAGATATCACAAAATATTTGGAAATTCTCTTTAATGATACTCACGGTATTAAAAAGAGTTCAATTATTCCACAATTTCTTACACTTAGGAAATGTAATTTTTGAAATAGTTTTAAAATGGACATCGTTACTTGCTTTTTCAATGTCAATACTTGCAATAGTGATTAACAGGATTGTTGCTTAGCTAAGTATACAATACTAACATTAGTATTTTGATTTTCAAATAGATCAAATAATGTAATTCATCAACAGCTAATGACTATTTTTATCTATGATGTAGATGAATCCTGCATCTCAATGAGTGTGAGTTGATTTTTTTGTTACTATTCAAATGTTCATTAATCTCTTTCATTTTAAGGAATGTTTTAATTAAAATATTATTAATTTCTGAATTTTTTATTAAAAATAACTTAGCTTTTTCAATAATTGAAGATATATATTTCAAAAATTTAAATGCATTATTTAATCATCACTCACTAAGCTTATTGTCAAGAAAAACATTAAAAATTGAAAATAATGATTGCCAAAAATAATATTTCAATTTCTTATCTTTTCAGAATTTAGAATTATCATTTAAAAAGGAATAAGGAAAAATATCTAGGTTCAGTTCACTAAAACAATATTGCTTCATGGTTTTATTTCATATATATATTTATTTAAAAATTACATATCTAAACAAAGTTTTTTAAAATTACTATTTTATTCTTTAAATTTATAAACAATTTGAAGTTAAACCAAAAGCAATACTAAAACAAGAAATAGAATAATTTGTTTAAACTCAATATAATATTTTAAACAAATACCAATATTTTGTTAATCCTATAATAATATAGATCTAAAAAAATATGTCTATAATAATAACGATCTACAATTTGTTAAATACAATGTTTATAATAATATATTCTATAGCCAATAAAAATAAATATAATTACATTTTAAATTTCAATAATATTAAGTCCGCAAGCTGGCCTGTTATTATTTTATGAAAAAAAAATTGTTTTAATAAATTTAAAAATCATATTTTATTATTACTTAAAAAGTAAGCTAAATTTCATTTATTATCTATCGAAAATTGATTCGAATCAATTTCGAGTACATTGTAAAAACAAATATGGGTTTTTATAAATTACAAATGATCACATTTTAATGGTTAAGATAAAATAATATTTTATAATTTTTGCCCACTTTGCTATTTTTTTAAAATAGCCCTTTGCACTTAATACCTTTACATCATTTAAGATTAATTAAAATATTACCATACAATAATATCATTCTAATAAATAAGATATCACAGTAAAATTTTATCGAAAATATAATGATTGTAAAAGATTATTTTATACCTAACATAAAAATTTA